CAAGGCAAGCAACCCAACATTGAATTGACTTTACCATCCCAAGACCCAGCCCACTAGCATGGCCAAAAAAAAGAGTAGATGAATCCCAAGTGAAGGGTTCATCCCCAACATTTCTCCCACAAAATTCCCTCATGAAAACAAGTGAGAAGTTACTCATTCTACCTCACTTAACAGCACATGTCACTATTTATGATGTATCACTCACTGGATGACCTCTTCCTGGAAAACACTTCCCTAATTTTCCCGGACTACAAAGCCGAAGTGTCGTCGTACCGAACCCTGAGGGATGTTTGAACCCGCTGAACCCTTCAAAGTTCAAGCAGGACCGCTCAAAACCAGAAGAAGAAGAAGAAGAGGAAGGAGGGGACTTATGGTTGTGTATCACTGTGTTGCTACTCTGCTGCTGTGATGACTCTGAGGGGGGTTTCGCGAGATAGAGAGAAGAAGACTGCAGGAGTCCTGACGGTGTCAAAACACATTATTACAGACCCCGCAAGAAAAACAGCAACTGGACCAGACCTCACAGAGAGAAAGCGAAAACAGAGACTGAGGGAGCAGAGAGGCAAAAGAGAAAGAGACAATGAGAGGAGAAGAAAGAGGCCATAGAAAGAGAAAGGGACAGCATGGATAAGGAAATCATGTCGAGTGTTTTTGTAAACTTGACCTGGATATCAGCTCTGATCTCCCGTAAGAAGGAGAATTGGACTCCTCTGAATGTTTCCGAACTCTGTCTGTCAAGTTCCAAACAAATTAAGAGTCCAAAGTGAGAAACAAAAGCACTTATGAGTCCCTCTGGATGGCAGTAATGGAAAAGAGAAGTAATCAAGTGTGTTGATTATTACCTCAATATGCTGTACAGCAGTCTGTATAAAAGGAAACCAAGGTGTTGCATCTGTTAATCGTATTTGGCAGATATTCTTGAAAAGTTTTTGCTTGTTTCTCATGAACCTAATGTCTTTTATTTTTTCTCTTATTTTGACCACTTGTTTAAAAAACAGATGATCTCATCTGTTCTGAGTTTGAAACAGGCCATTCATTAGTGTACGTGTTGCTTAACCTCCACACTAAACGGTTCATGTTTCCACTGTTTAGCCGATGTCTGAATTGCTTTGAAACTCTTTCAACTGTCAGTATGCATTGCATTTAAGCCCCCACCCCCACCCGTTGGCCTGGATCAGTAAAGTATAGTTCAGCCCGACACCCTGTGCTCAGAGATAAGCTAAGCGAGGGTGATTGTCAGCTCTGTGCACTGATACTTGAGGAAAAATCCCGGCACACATCCTGGAGACTTGTAATCAGGTGTGCCGCACGCTGTCCACTCAACATGCATTCAACACTCCGTATCACACTCCGTGTTCGGCCCCGTGTCACCGTCAGCGCCGTATTGCTTCTGCCAGGTAGCCATCATTCACACCCATCTACATCCCCAGAAACACCTCCTCACCACCAGCCTGACGCCTCCGCAGCAGCAGAGTGTAAATCAGCAGCCTGTGCAGTGGCTAGGTAAAAAGCAGCAGGGGCAGAAAGAGAGGCCATCAAATCTGACCAGGGCCGGGGTGATTAGGCCACCTGAGGCCATGTCTGCGAAACCTGCATCACAATAATCGCACCAGAGCGTGTAGAGGAGAGAGAGGGAAGCCGGTGACCCTGCTGCTGTATGTTCTCAGAGATCTGTGACTCAGAACATCATTAGCACACACACACTACAGTTATTCAAGCCCTGCAAAACGCCCTTCGCTGCCCCACCTTTCCCCCCCTGTTTTCTCAACATGGAAACACAGGGACGCCGTGTCGCAAGTTGTACTCTGGTTTTAGAGAACATGGTGCTCAGCAACATTTAATTAGCTGTGTTTGAACCTAATTTAGCACTTCAAAACAAAGCCACAATAATGGATGCTCTGTCTGTGGTGTTTGAGCCTGGATTTAACAATGGGAAAGTTTTCCAAATGCCACATTCATGCAACATTTGACACAAGGCATAAGCTCAGAAAGAGTCTAATGAGGGTTTTTTCAAGTTCCGTCCAGTCATTGTGCTGCTGATGGCTGCCGCTCCGACAGAGAAAGGCCCCTTTTATGATCTCCTAAAGTATTTATACATGCTAAACAGATAGGGGGGAACCTGAAGGTGCTGTGGTGACCTTTCAGCTGGCCAAAAACAAACCCCTGGTCCGTGATAGGAGGGAGTCCTGTGAGAGTAGCCATCTGGCTCCATTTGAAAGCCCATCACCCAGGCAAATAGGTCAGTGCTCCTGGGCCACAAACTCTGCAAGTGCAATGAAACCGAAGCTCCCAGAGGTCCTGGTCTGATCTGTCATCAGCCAATATGGGTGTCCGGCCAGCGGTCAGCGGGTCGACCCATTTGACGAGAGCTTTAAGGAGGGGACGGCGCGAGGGAGGGTGGAGGGAGAAGCGGAGGACAAGAGCCGAGTTGTGTTGCAAGGGCTGATTATGCGTGCTACGGGGCCAGTTTCCTGGATGTTGTGTTTGTGTTGGAGCGAGTGGCTCCAGGCAGATGTTGCAAATGAAGGAGGTGCTGTTGTGTGTTGACATTGTGGGGAAAAATCATCCCGGATGACATCTGATTGGTGTTTCTAGAGGAAATGTTTCCGATGACAGAAGTAAAATTCACAATATTGGAACATCCCCCTTTGAGTAGGCAGGCAGCAAAATAAATTATGTGACTGTTTTATAGACTAGATTTTCTCTCGCTGCAGAAAACAGCAGAACAACAGAGTTGCTCTCTGCGGGCCTCCAGGGTGTGTGACACTGTCACAATCAGCCTCCAGCTGTGCTTGCGCTGCCCACACACATACACACCATCCATCTGGCAAAGTGAGCACATAAACACTACTTCGGCAAACATCAGATGACCTTTTACCTCCCCAAAGCTATTTGCATACACAATCCGACACCTTCAAACACAAGTGAGCACACACACTCTTCCACACAGAAGCCAAAGCAGGAGAATGATGAATATTCTGCATAATTTATTGTAGGTTTAATTGTGAGGCTTTGACAGACTTTATGGCTGCACTGTTAAACAAAGACAGAAAACAATAAGGAGAGACGTTTATATAGATGCAGTCTGTAAAATAAAAGGCATTACTTATTGCTTTCATTAATGATATTTCTTTTAGAAGAGCACTAAACTGATTCTCATACCTATGCTGATGATACACAGTTATACATTTCTTTCTGATCTGATGATAGGAGCCCAACTGACAAACTGTCTTGTTGCCTCTGCACATTAATATGTAAACATCATAAAACTCTCTGCAGCTCAGCAGCAACAAAACTGAGGTATTCAGCACTGATATCAAAGAAAGGCAGACTCCCCTTTGTGCTTATTTTGAAACGCTGGCTGTGAGCACAAAGCATGAAGCAAAGAATCTTGGCATCATATTTGATTGTGACCCGTTCTTGGACTCCAAGGTGAGAAACCTCACTAGAAATGCCTTTTACCATCCCAGAAACATTGCCCTCATGCAGCCTCTCCTGTTCAAAGAAGATATGAAAAGACTTTGATACAAAAAAAAATAATCCAAAACGCAGCAGCGCATCTTCTCACCAAAACTAGTGATCACAATCCTTTGGTTTTAAAGGCTCCTTATTAGCTCCAGGCACCCTTAACATTAATTCAAGGGAACTATTCCCACCAAATGATTAGATAAATATTGTTTTGATGGGTGAGGTTGACATAATAATGTTGGTAATGGCATCAACTTAATACTGTGTGTATATGAGCTTAAATATCTGCATTAATTGATTTGAGACTAAATTCAAGTTGATGCAGCTTAATGAAATTGACTTGATGACTTAATTTTCAAGGATTTCAAGTCCCCTCCTCTCTGCTAACATGCCTGGACAAGTTCAGACAGTTAAGACTGGAATATCTTTGACTGTGAAGGAAAAGCTAATTTCCAAAAACTCAATATAGTTTGTTGGTTGAACATAATTTCCCCAGATGTTGTCATAACTAAAAAAAAAAAATAAAAGAGGGATGCAAACTGTTGCTTTTTTCTTTTCTTTTCTTTTTCTTTTTTAGTGAGCCCAAACATTGTGTGCTCATTTTTCTATTCATTTCATTATTTTGCTTTTAGATATTAAATCTGTAAGTGAACCAGCTCCTCACTATTCATCTGATACATCGGTGAGGTACGTCTCTTCCAGATCCATTAGACCCTGTAACTCTGGTCTCTTATTTGTTCTTATAAGAACTAGGATGCACAGAGATGCTGCATTATGTTCCATCAAGCTTCACCTGTTTAACAGCTGCAAACCAAACCTCAGAGCTTCTCTTTTTAGGCTTGTGTTTATGTTGTTTCTGTGTAGATTTATCTAATTTACTGATATCAAACCTATTTATTGCCATTATAATGGACCTTTGTATTTGAGTGTCTTGTGTTTTATCACTATTATAGGCTTATTTATTTTATTCTCGTACATTTATTGATTTAGTGCTATTTACAATATGAACTGTGCTATACAAATACATTTATCATGATCATTATTCATTTTATCTGAACAAGGCTTAAGTTAACAGGTTATATTTCACAATAGTCTGCTTATTTAAGATAAATTCAGTGTGGTCAAACCTCCACTGGTGTGACTTAACCAACTAACGTGTATATAAATCTTTAATTTATAATTTATGACATTCTGACCTGAAGCAGGAGTTGGATTGATTCATTCATTATCATCTCCCAGTAAAATGATCCCACGGGTCATTTTGTGCTTATTGAATGGTGCTGTGGTAGAAAACTGTCGTTTTTAAACTGGCAAGTGGCCAATACAGGACCACAAACTCTTCAAATTCCACAATATGACGCAGAAAGGGGAACTTGCATTCAAGGCATTCAAAGTTGCATCATTGCGCAACACACAGAGACGAGTTGCCGAGCAGGGATAAATCAGTTCAAATCCTCCCTCCTTTGGTTCCTTGTGACTGGTCCGTGCCTGTGTCAGTCAGGGGGAGGGGTGCACCGCTAATTTCTATATGCCTGTATGTCAATTTAGGACTCAGATTGCGTTTTTGTGCGTGGCTGTCAGCAGCTGCAAGCCTCGGCGGACGTCCACAGCCTCGGTCCTGGAATTTCTACGCGTATTTTTTGTCAGATGAGACGCTCGGGACGCGCGTCTACCTGCGTACACTGAACCTTTGTCTTTGGATATTGCTTGCCACTTAAAACGCATCCGCACACTTGTGCCTCGTGGTTTTATGCGCTTTTGAAGTGAGCTGCTGCTGCGTAATAACGAGCACACCCGAGGGGAAGAGTCGTCACAAAACTTTAAGGAAGACTTGGCAACTTTGGAGATACATCTACACCGCGGTGGAGTTCATGTGGTTTAACATCTGACAGAAACGGACCGTTTCTCTGGAAAACTTAACAGAAGGGGCTTCTTTTTTAGAAACATGTTCAGCAAATGCTCCGCGGTGTTACTGAACGTCCTCTTTCTGGTGCGGGCGCTCTCGGCTCATGAGTGCACGCCGTGTAACCTCCGGACTTGTCCCCTCAAATCCCCGCACGGCTGCGAGGGTGGCCGGACCTTGGCCAGGGACCCGTGCGGATGCTGCGATCAGTGCACCCGGCTGGAGTGGGAGCCCTGCGGCGGCCAGGACTGGACGCACGGCTATTGCGCACTGGGGCTGACCTGCGCCTCTGTCAACAAAACCGGAGCTGCCACCGTCCCTGAGATTGGAGTTTGTAAAGGTGAGTAGAAGTCTCTCGTGTGAACTTCATTAAAATGGTGCCATGTTTATTCAATCGAACCCTCACAGAGGAGAAATGCGTAAATGCTGGTGCCGAGTGTGCGTCAGAGGAGCTGCTGGTGCCAATTCTCTCGTCAGGCAACCATCGTCTTCTTTTCAGTTGCTTAAAGGCACCACTATTCAGACGTCAGTTAAGCCCTGACTGCAGCGACTGTGTCACTGTTTACCTTGTCTCTGGCTGCCTGGAGCTGCTCCCCAGGTCTGAGGGGCTCTTGACTGCCAGGAGAGGAGTCATGTTCAGCTGCTCTTTCTTCCCCTCAAAGCTTCATTCACTCTCAGCTCAGAAGCATGACAATACGTCTGGCAGTCGTGATCTGGCACAAGGTTGCAGCTCTAGTAGGTCCTGTTCTGACATTTGAGACGCATTTCAGAGTGAATCTGTGTGGGGCCAAAATTATGGACTGCTCATGTCGTGACCAACAATGATGATTGTGTTTCTAAGCCTGGAAAACATTGCAATTTATTAAATAAGCTGCCATTTTCTTGCCTGCACTGTACACACAATTGGCTTCGCTGTGTATCCCAAAGCTCTAATGGTTTGACAGCACGATTGCAAAAGTCCCCAGCAGATTTTCATTTGCAGTTCTGTGAATCCACAGCGCTACAGCGTTCTGTTCCTGCCAAGCAGAGCTGGGCTGTTACACTGTGTGATGTGCTCATTTTACGCACAATTTGAGCAACTTTCTGAACTTCAAAGAAATGTTCAGGGTGTCAGGTTCCTCTCTGAGAATGAAGGTAGCAATGGCCTTCCCCTGTGGAACAAATAACTGGTGGAAGGACCCCCACCTCTCAGCCCCTCCACCTGCACTCTGTCCAGCCTGTTTCGGGATGATTGAAGAGGACTGACAAGACTGTTGGAGAGAGTAAGCAGCTCTCAGTGGGTGTCTGGATCTTCTGACCCTGCCCCTCCATCATCTCTCTGTGGGGTGGTCCAGGTCACAGCTCCACAAGAGTTTTCCAGGGGTCTCAAGCCCCCCTGGGCCATCCCTGGAGACACTGTTGCTGATTGTGCCTCATGTACAGGTTAGACTGGCGTCTGGAGGACATCTCCACTGCAAATTAACAGCTTTGGAACGAGCGGGAGACCTAATGGCTCCTCTGATTGAGTCATGCCTCTGGTCCTGCCGCTCCAGGGGCCTCAAAGCACGCTGCTGACCCCTAAATCAGACGCACGCACACACACAGCCACGATATCCCAGAGGGTCTAGGTGGGGGTAAATCAACACCTCCCAGCGTGTTTTCGGGGGCCACGGTAGGCAGGCTGCTGGAGGCTGATCCCAGATTTCCCTCCTCAAGCTGCAAGGGTCTTAAAGTGATTAGACCTGCAATCAGGAGTAGGGGGTAAATGTTTCCGCTTTTCTGATCCCACTGCTTTTCTGCTCACAGTTTGATTTTCTGGGTGGTCAAAATCTGTTAGTGTGGAGACGCAACAACCTTCAAGTGCAGGTGGCAGTTACAGGCTGCATGAGAGGGACACCGTGGTGATCAGTCGGCCTTTAATGTGTGATTGTTTGGACTCTGGGGGGGAAGCTGCAGTCGTCCCTTCTTCTTCTTCTGTTTTCCAGACTGAGAAATATTATGCAAGACACTAAAAAGAACTGAAATGTGCTGGAACTGAGTTTTTCATTGTTTTTTGAATTAAGGAAGTGTTTTATTTCAAGCTGTGTTGCCAGTAAATGTCACTACTTTTGAAATTATAATAACCAAATGAAAACCACAAAATAGTTGCAGCCTGCCAAGACCAGGATATCAATTATTTTCATGAAGGAATTTGGCATCAGTGCGCCGAAGCTGTCAAAAACTTGTTAAAAAGCGAAGCATCCCGTGAGCGTGCAGGCACCTGCTCTGAGGAAACGTCATTCACTTTGCCATCTCCGCTTCGGACATCAGCTTGTCAGTCAGTCTTGGCTAAATGATTTGTTTCACTGTTTTCATTGTAATCTTGCGTCTGTCCTCCCACGCCAAGTTTCCTCATGCTCCAGAGACACTTAACATACCGTGTAACAGAATGCCCGTCTTCCAGGGACGCTATGTCCACTGCACTCCTTCACATGCCGTCTACTTCTCCCTTCCTCTGGTATTATCTAACGTTTCAAAGACTTCCTTTTTAGCTCGCTATCAGCCACGGGGCCTCTAGAGGTCAGCTTTCCCATCCTGGCTCTGGATGCCAAGACAAGCAGTCTCAGTGGCTGAGAGAGGAATCCTCCTGGGATAAAGACATTGGTTAGAGCCATGCCAGGCCAAGATAACCAGGCTGGACCAGAACCAGACCCCAGGGTCAGGCTAAAGTGCAGTCGGCTGAGGGAGCTTACAAGAAGCTGGGCTCAACCTAAACTTAGCTAACGAGACAATGCCTTCAGTGTCCAGCCTTTCATTAATTGTTTTGACTCCTGCCTCCTTTTCTGCGTGCCAGATTTAGCGCCCCGCACACAGACAGGCCGCCACCACCATCTCAAATGAAAATACGCTCGCAGGCACAGGAAAGCCTCAGGATGGAAAAAATGTGGAGGTGAGGATCATTTTAAGGTGAAGGGAAATCACAGAGAAAGTTTTGGTGCGGTTTATTGAAAAGGCAGCTTGTGCTTTTGCCGGTTCACTGGCCGTCTGGGAGAGCTATTAACAGCACCGGCTGGCTCAGGTTAAAGGTAACACTACCTCCGCTGCTTCCACTGGCCGGTGTTTACTGTCGAGCTTGAGAGCATCGTCCATCACAGAGGAGTCACGGACGCAACCAGCTGTAACTCGGGGAGGGCATTTACAAGGATGCTTTCTTTTGCGGTCACATTGACGCACTTCAGCAGTAAAAATTTATCACAAGAGATGGTCTTTTTTTTTTCCCCCCATCGTGCAATATCTGTTTCAAATTAATATGGATCAACATGTGCGTTTTATTATCATCTACAGCATTTAAAAGCAAAGTCATGGAGTTCCATTTCTCTCCAGTCACTGTGAGTCATCGTTATTGTTCCTCTCACCCCCCTAACTGAGTATGAAAAGGATTCTCATCTTACAGGCTTTATTTCAGGTAGATACACTATGACATGCTGGTGTTTATGCTGGTTAGTTAAACCTTTAACTCCTTTTCCTCTGGCGCATTGTTCTGGTGCGTCGGTGTTTGGAGAAGAAAGCCAGCGTATTATGATAATCTTCAATCACGCTTCCACACTGTTGATTTGAGGCCTGGGAGCTGAACGCTTGGGAAGAGGTTACTCTGTGTTACAGTTTGTCTCATCCTGTTTACTCCACTGCCACTCTTACTGCTCCAGGACAGCTATGAAGGAGGGTAATTTGGGGGTATATATTTGTGTTTATTCATGCATGAACGTGAAAAGGAGCACTATGGTTAATGTGTATGTTGGGGCCCTTTAATCCCAGGGTCGCGGTGGATGTTCGGCTCACACGGCTCTAACGTGACACTTTTTTTTTTTTACTCCCTCGTACATTCCTCCCTCTCGTAAAGTTTCATCCAAGTCGGGCCAAACCTCGAGGTGCCATCTCAGGGGGGGTGAGGCTCGCTGTGTGGAGGAACAATATGCGGGTATGGTGCAAGTAGCCCTATTTCAGCAGAGGCGTTACTGCAGCCAGCAGAGATGGAAACCCTGGGAGGGCCCCATGCTGTGGAACAAAAGCAAACAAATGGGCTCAGTAGCTGAAGTAGTGTGGCACAACGAGGGGGGAGGAGGGATGGCAGGCCAGAAATACACCGGTCTGGTCACTCCAGCATTAATTGTGCCAGTGTAATGTGTTGCAACAGAGGCTGTAAGCTGGATTCAGCAATTTTGGGGAAACAAATCTTGTTTTTGGGCGCTTTGAATATGCTTAACTTGTACACTCCATCCTGTGTTCGTTTATCCCCCTTTGAAATAGGTAAAAGCACAAACAAGTGAGAATTCATGTTATTCCTAATGTTCTCTGTCCCCCCCTCTACAGTACTTCCTGATCATCCAGACGCAGGTCTTGAGGATGAGCACTGTCCCCTGATGACGGGCTGCGACAGAGCAGGAGGTCAGTGTGTGTGCGACGCCCGTCACTCCTGCTTGGGATCTTTTACCTACCCAGACCAAGAAACCTGCATGAAGGCCAGCAAGTCAGGTGAGTGCTCCCCTCCCATCTCTTTCTATGCTAAAACAGACATGCACACACACGAGCACAGAGTTAGAGGAAATAATGCTATCCATTGAGAGGAGCTAATCCATAGCAGATGTGGCCCTGAGGTGACTAATGCTACTTACATATCATAGTGATGACACACATGCTAAGGCTTTGAGTACCGCTTCCCAACTCACCCTTGAGTGGTGCCATTGTCTGTGACTCACCGATGATTGTGGTTTTCTGTGTGTCCGCGGCTGGGTTTCAGATGGTCGGAGGCACGAGCACCGGGACAGACACAGAGAGAAGTATGTGGGACCGTCCAATCCGGCGTGTATGTTCTCCGGGTGTAATCTGACCGCCGACGGCTGCGTGTGCGAGTCTCAGAGCTGCCACCACCACTTCGCCTACATCAACCGCAGCCAGTGCCAGGAAGCCGCAGGTAACCTTGAAATGACCTGCAACTAGAACTGACAGCCACACAGCAGCCAACAAGTAGCTCAAGTTATAGATTCCACAACTTCAAGGTTACATTACAGGGAAAATGTGGTTCATGTAAGCGTTCATGTACAGTAGGGGTGTAGCTGTGCATGTGTTTGTCTCCAACAGTTCTGTACACGATGTTCAGTTCAGTGTGAAACTCCCTCAGCTTGCTTTATTCATGTCGACATTGCTGCAGAAATTCTCCAACGCGATCGCCACTCGATAGCGCACCAGTTGTTGTCCATCAACGCAAGTTAACCTTAAAAAGCCTTTAACGCTGTGCAGACACCGAGTTTATTTTATTTGACGTGTACCATGTGTTATATCGCTGACTTTTAATCGTCCTTCCTGCCGACCAGAATCTGCAACTTCTCTGCTCACACTGTATGGGCCACTCAATCCCCCGACCACCGTGTGGATCTCACGCTGAATGTAAATACGAGGCCCTGGTGGCTTTTTTTCCAGTGACAGTTCCAATAAAGTTTATTGAAACATGATGGCGGTGGCCTCAGTGTTTACACAAAGAAGAGAAAGGCCGAGTTACTTTGTGCGATTTTTTTTTAAAGCTGAAACTTGCCTGCTGCCTTTAATGGTTAATTTTATTTAGTGATAAATATGTTGTCTTAATGGAGATTTTTTTTTTTTGTATACTTACGAGTAAACAGCTCAGTCTTTTATTATCAGCATAAAGTATCTGAATGCAGTGAAGTCCTCTCTGTCTAATGATAAAAACCCCATAGACATTTCCATATATCAAAATTACACATTTTGTTTTTCCTCATTAAAATCCTTAAAGCTACATGTAACTATAAATTGCTTCTTCCTCTAAAATGTGCCGATCTATAAAGTCCCTGCCTCTTTCTCTACCCAGCACTCTGCAGCTCGAGCACACCCGCTCACCTAGGACTCTGCTCAAACGTTATTAGACTAATTCAGTCACTTATGTTAAAAATGGAAGCAAATCCTGAAGAAAAGCTATTATATGGAGAATCCACCCTGAAAGCTGACAGCGTTGGTTCCTTAGATTTGTTACTTACGCCTTAATGGTGCTGATTTTAAGTATGATGTGTTTCTAATGTGTAAGAAAACACCCTATGGACACGTTAACAAGGTGAAAAAACAGTTTTTTTTAACTGTAACTTTTAGAATTCTGACCAATTAGGAACCTTTTTAATGTTTTCGGTTTTAGAAAATAAATGAAAATGCACCAAATAATCAATCCAAAATTGATACTGAAGAGACAACTTTGTGCACCGCTCCACTCCTGACTTCCAGTAATTTACACTGCAGCTTTCGTTGATAAAGACTTTGCCCTTTTCTTCAGCTCAGATTGAAACCGAACCAAAGCATTCCTTCTGTCGCAGCTTCATTATGTGTGAAGGCAAACATATTTTTTGCTTACTAATGAAAACCTGATGCCACTTTTAATATTTTGCAAAGGTGCCCCTTAAAGCTCAATGTGCATGATGTACAACTAATCTTTCGTACTCGTCTGCTGAAATATTTGCACAGTTACTTGGATCATCATCTACTGGTTTTGCACAGCGCTTCAAATGATGGCGTGCGAAGAGCGTAGAGGAGGAGGAGGAGGGAAATAAAGAGATCAAGAGTCCGTGCCATGAAAAGAAAACAAGGAACGATGCTCAGAGTGAAAGAGAGAAGGTGTGAATGTGACTGACAGAAGCGAAAACGAGAAAGTCTATATTTAAAAGGAGTTGCCGAGACTGTTGACGGAGTTATGGCGCGTTGGAGATCCTCAGCGGCAGGACAGAGTGCTGAAGGTGTAAGTGAATGGAGCGCCGTATGAATGCCTCCCCTGTGCTGGAGGTGAAAGGGATAATCCTCTGAATGAAGCAAGAGAATACAAGAATGTGTGTTTACCTCCGCGCTTAGCAGTCTCTGATTGACACTTCTAAGTGAAAAACGTTATTGGCAGAGTGAGTTTCATTTCCTCATTTGGATTGCGAGGTGTCTGCGAGATAGGCAGGCGCTAAGTGGCGGCTGCCTTCTGAGTGACACTTGCAAAATAGGACAAGATTGCCACTGGGTGAACTCGTTGAACTTCCGCGTATGTTGGCTAGAGCTCGTCTTAATCATCACGCTGTTCAAAGCCAGAAAACTGGAAAAATCTTCTGGAAACCTGAAGAAAAATTAGTTTGGTGTCATAGTGAACGGATTCAAGTCCAAAGCATGTGACTGCTTGTGCGTTTTTATCCACATGCAGCTCTCCTTTCATACTCACGGCTCTTACTCTGTACAAGTTTGACGTTTCAGATGAAGAACGGCTCTTCAGATGGTTAATACTGCGGCTGGCAGCGAGCCACAGAGACATATTTGAGTTTATTTAGTCTGCAAATAACAGTGACGTTATTGCAGAACATCCACAGTACAGCTGTATGGATGTTTGTCTTGAGCCATTTACGCAGTAAATCCCACAGGAAGTGCGTTCATCAAACATTATATTGTTTAGACGTATTGTCAAGTCTAGCGTTACAGTGAAAGATATACTGTCAGTCTTCCATGTTTTGTAACTCGCTCATCTCAAAGCCTGAGCTCACTGGATGACAGTTTAAACTCACACCAGTGAAAACTGTAAACAACATTTTTCAGCAGCTTATGAGTTCTCACCGCAACACACACACCCTCCCCTCTGACGGGCCCTCATTAAGTAAGAGACCGGGACGCGTGCATCTGTTCTGTCTTAAAGAATACATGTGCATGTGGAATGATGCACACATGTGCACGCCTGCATGTGCAGATACATCATCACGTGTATGTGACGAGTCTACATATGTGAGCATCTGTGCCAGTGTGTCTGCATCTGTGTTTGTGCGTGTGTCTGTGCGTGATAATTATCTTGTTTGTCTAGATGTCGCGGCAGAGATTTTCCTTTGTCTATCATCAGCAGGAGCTTCCTTTGCGACCAGACCGGGACTCTGTGGTTAGGATCCTATTTGCTCAGTCCTGTTGGACTCCGTGGTGACTGCGTCCATCAACCCCTGGGTTGTCTTTAGACACAAGCAGTTATTAAGATCTGTGTTAGCATGCCCTGCTAGACTGTGACAGCCAATGTTTCCCGTAAACTTGCTCTCACGGCATGAGAGCTGCGCTGATCGCACTTGTCTTCACAGTTGAACATTAAAGCGACATCCCAACACTTCAAGAGCACTTTTTTTTTCCTGACATCAGTCAGAACACAGATTCACTTCTTAGGACCTTTAAACTCACACATGGTAGTGGTTTATTCTGGCTTTCTCTCACTTTCATTCTGACTCACTCAGTGGTCTTGTCATTTCATCCCTCTGCTGTGACTCACTGTGATCTGTTAAAACTCAACGTCTTTGCCGCTTCACTGCTCTGGATGTTCGATCTCCCAATTTCACCTCTTGTAGATTTAGTGGGATCCTGTTTTCTCGTGGTATAAAAACGCTGATGTAATGTGGCTGCATATGCTTATTTGGAAGCAACATGGTGCAGCAGACGTATTACCCACATGTCAGGGAGGAAAGAGGATGTGATAAGTGTAGAGAGGGAGGGGGAAGGCAGACACAGGAAGATAGGAAATCACAACTGAGGCCAACCATTTTGTTGAGGTATTTGTGTCCAGGCCCCAGGGCCTTGGTAGGGTGGTGTTTGGTAATTTTACACTCTAGGATGGTTTACATACTTCATTCATGATAAGGCCTCTAACTGCTATTTTTGAGGAATTCCCCTGCTGTCGCTCACTGATAGGAACAAACAACAGCAGTCTATGCATCTTTCCAGTGATTTGGTGATTCATACAACTGGCTGTATTAATGATTGGAAAGCGTGATGGCTGAAAACTCAAGCTGTGTCGAAGCATAGCTCTCCTCATTTGCTTTATATCGGTGATGGACTGAAACTTGTGGCTCGCAGACATGTGGTAGTTCACAAGCGGTTCAGCAGACTGGGAACCAGCGCCCACTATTATGCCATGGCACAAACGGACCTTGCTCTCACAAATCTGCCTGCCCACCTATGCCACCTCCGTCCTGCCTCTTTCTGGCCTTGTGAAAGGACTGTTAGTTCTGCTTGGCTGCAGCCTCTTTGTGGCAGCGCTATTACTGGCCGAGCCAGACCGCCACCGGCTGGCAGGGGCACGAGACGTCTCAGCGCTGAGTGTTTGTGTGGCGTCTGCGGAAGCTGTGGCCCCGTTGCACCCTGCAAGCTGCTTGTTTCCCAGTCAGTGTGTATTTATATGTGTGTAGTGAGTAATTTCAAAGAGGAAACAAAACTCCTGTGTGGCTATTGAGACAAAGAGCTTCCCTTAAAGGCATGTTGGGATTACTGTCAACCCATTCACTGCTCTTGGTCAGCCACTAACCAAACCAGGCAGTATTAGGCCAGCGGGAAAAGCCAAAATACACTCAGATGAAGTCCTAAACCCTTCCTGCCTGTCCAGCTCAAACTCTCTCTTCATTCACTAAATCTAGGCCTAAGTCTCTGCTCACTGACTCAACTATAACCATTAACAAATCAGCGACACCCCAACTGCAGCCGAAGCCAACCTAGGCCCATTTTCTCCATCATCATTCTTTTCCCTTTTTCCCCTGAAAGGGCCTAAATCCATACATAACTCAACTGCCTCTTCAACAATTCATCCAGCAGCTGTCTCCAGCACTGGCCTCCCATAGACTGGTTTTATACATTTGCTACAGATGACGGCTGAATCTGCGGGACGGTACACGTGACAACTGTTCTTTTTTCTTTTACAGTGCTTTATGTATAGCACCCTGGAGGAGAGTACGTTTAACCTTTTCATATGGATTTTGTGCCAGATGCAGTAATAGACCATACATGGTGGTGCATCTCTGTCTAAAGGCCCCTGAGCCAAGTCCCTCAGGCTCTCTGTCACTGGTCAGATTTTTGTTGGCCATCTGAGGGCAAGCAAAAGGTCTGTTTCAGTGGAATGTACTCATGCTATGCACACACACACACAAACATGCGTGAATACATCAATGTGCAACTGTTCACCTACACGTGGACATTATGTCACCCAAACACACTCATTCACAGCTGCAGCGGTGTTGCGTAGAACACTGAGATCACATTTTTCATCTGCAAATATTTAGCCAAAGAGCGAGAGAACAAGGCGTGCAGGCAGCACATGTGGAGCCGCCGGCTTGCTGCATACCTGCACTCGGCTACCTCAAGCTTCTGACCATGGTGTGAAGTTCCCACCAAGTGTTTCTACCTGGTGACCCCGTCTCTGCCTTTTGGCCTGGACCCCCTCCCAGACCTGCTCCTCGATCCTCACACATATACTCACACACAGAGTGAACAATGCCGACTTTCTCAGCTGTAACTGCTGGTGGGCGCCGGGCCAGGCCCCCACAGCTTTACGTGAGAGACGGCCCTGATGTGTCCCTTTGCGGAGCAACTTTATAAAACCTGAGGACAGACCAGAAACCCACGGAGGGCAGCTGGACTGAGACAGCTTTGTTCTCCGCTGACTTGTATCCAAAGTCAGTCGGTGAACAGAACTCACATTGTGCGCTTTTTCCATGAGTAAACTCAGGCTGTCAACACAGCCTCCTCTGCCTGCTCGAGCCGCTCTGGTTTGGGGAAAGACTGCGCTCCTTGTACCCGGGGAAGAAAAACCCATTTAGAATGGAGGATTTTTCTTTCTTCAATGAGCTGCTGAGATGCCAGAAATATGCATTGTTTACAAAAGAGATCATTCTGTGGTAATGAGGCAATTTCCACATGTCACCTTTTCCAGACCGGCATCAGGTGTGCATGGGAGAGAAACACACATCGTCGGCTGGTGCAGTGGGGTCACAGATTTTCCATTCTTTGCTAGCTGTAAAAGAGCACAAGTTGCCTAATCTGCAGACAGAATTTATCAAGCATACCAAATCAGGGCTTTTGTGTTTGTGCAGGCTGGAGTATGGCCACCATTGTGATACGAAGATTGGTTCTGTGGTCGCTGACTCACTAATTACAACCATTTATGCTAAGAGATAGAACACAAACAGTACAGGATAAAATCCATTTGCTGCTGACTTTTTCCATCCCCTCTGTTTGCCTATTGTGCTCATAATTATCCCAGCTAAAAAAATTATATTAATTGGACCTGCAAGGCTTGGACCAGTTCCATGGATGGATACAAATCTATTCATTTAAATGACAATGGTGTGTCTGCCAGCTGCTTTTCCCAGCGCACTCTAACCCCTGCCATTATCGCAAGTGAAAGAGTAATCAGCCTTCTCTGGGGCACATACAATGCACAGAAAGTGTTTTTCAGTGCAGAACCTTGTGCAGGATTGTCCCAGGGCATTTTTTTCGTGGCTTTAAAAAGCTTGAGGTTTTCATATGCAAAACCAGTCTTCAACTGAGCAGCAGCAGCAGCAGCAGCAGACTGCGTTAGACTTTATTGGAAGTAAAACTTTTGCCAATCAGCACTTCCAACCGAAGTTTATTTAACTCCAGCATAGGAACTGGGCCAAAAACCGTTAAAAGGGTTGTAGCCTCCCTTAATTCAGGGGTTTTCCCTCATTTTCTATGACACTATTCAGCTACAAAGTTTATCAATGAGAGCTTTGTGGCGGTCCTCACTGTTCCCAGGTTGCTTGAGCAAACAGTACAGTACAGATACCTCACACTCCTGCTTTATTTATCTGGAGCCAGAAAAATTCAATGTTTCCCTTATCCTCAATTTCATCTGTCAGTTATGTTACCCCCACCCACCCAAATACAGCAGAGCCCCTCTCCTCCATGTTTATTCTGGGGCAGGCAGACATCAAACGGCGACTTAACCGCAATGCCAGCAAGAGCCTGCAGGTCAGACCAGAGCATTCATCCTTTAAAACATGAATGGATGACAATGTGGAGTACGATTCCGGTTCTGGAGCTGAAGCAGAACCGTCATCGAGAGCATGCGTAGTCCGGACCCCGAACTGCTCGCTGGTTTAGTTTCTCCATCTGGTGGCAAAACTCAGAGGGATCCGTTTACCGTTCTTCGAATTTCAGGGATGAGGCACATCCTCTGAGAGACTCGTGTTCCACGGAGCCAGCGCCAGTCTGGGAAGACCATCAACAAAACTCAGCCTCTGGAAACATTACCAAAACCCCAAGCACTGTTACGCAACCTCAGCCTGTATCGTTCCCTCTCCTCAAAAACCAGATGTATGCAAAGATTGTTAAGTATTCCCCATAACTACATCATAATCCTCTGTCTTCTAAAGCAATCATTTGTTGTCAGAGCTTCTCCTTTGAGTGTGAGTGATGATTTATACGACGTGTGCAATTAGCAGATGATTCCTGCACGACTTAACGCTGCTCTTCCACTTTTTTTTACACTCTCCTCCTGGCGTCACTGTCAAAGCGCTGCACAGTGTGTATCTGCCGTGCTTTCATTGGAGCATCTGGGAAACAACTTAGTGACAATCACAGGACAGGACGGGAGTCGGCTCTCCACAAAATCTCTTTTCTCCCTGTCATGTATACATTACAGTGACACTGAGAACCAAAATAAACATGTCCCTGTAGTTTGAGTAATCCAATCTTTGTAAGGTAGCTACTGTTCTGTAAAGAGGGGCGCTCCACTTTTCTTTTCCTGAACACACTCCAAGATACACCCCTGAGCCCCTTGCCCAGATTACCAGTACCCCTGCACCTCTTTCCTCCCCCTCTGACAAGGGGGTATCAGGGCTATTATGGTGGCTCCAACAGATGAATAGACAAACACGTCCTGGTATGCTAAGTGAAGGGGAGAATTTACACTGGAAAGAAGAAAAGCTCTGTTGAAGATTTCTGCTATTAATGGCCGGTCTGAGAGCGTGAGGGGCTGTTTGGGGTGCGAGCCAGGTTGGGTGGGATCAGAGGCCTGTAGAAAGGATCTCAGTGAGTTTCCCGTGTCGAGGGAGCTGCACTCTCACTCCTCTGACAGGATGCTGTAAAGCTGTCACGGACTGAAGTGGGGATCTGATGACGACGCGCAGAGTTTGCGTTGGGCAACTGTGTGAACTCGGCCTTTTAGCCCGTAACACGAGTAGCGTCGTTCTGAAGTGGCTCAACTGACACTACAAGGAGGCAGCCCTCACACACACTCCTGCACGCTCTCATGCAAGCACAGAAAATCCCTCCCTCCTCCAGGAGAACAGTGTTGGCACTGTCGGAGCCCAGAGCAGTTCCCGGTGGCGTTACCCCAACTACAAAGAAGCTGCGTCTGTTTTTTTCTTTTGCATTCGCTGTGTGCTGCATGTGTTGCTGATCCATGTTTGTGTTGTTTTACAGAGGAGCTGAGGTGTGCTGGGGTCACATGTCCCGCCCTGCAGGTGCCCTCCTGCCCCAAGGGTTCAGTCCTGACCAAGAGTTACACGCCCCCTGCTGGCTGCTGCCCCTCCATACCACCCCAGTGCACCTGCGACCTCCGAGCCTGCCACAAGCCCCAGTGCCCGAGCGGACAGCACCCGGTTCCGCTCAGTCAGGCCAGCGGTCATCCAGGAGACTGCTGCGATGTCTTTGAGTGCCAGAAAGGTGAATTGCACCGAGCTGCACATTACACACTTTGACTGCTCTCCCACCAGGATTAGCAATTGCACAGTTGGTGTGAGATCCATCGTTATTTTGGAGGCAATTATTTTCCTCCGAGTAAGGCTTTCCTCCCTGCTGACCAAATGTCCACAGGAAAAAGGAAAGTTGCTGATTGGATAATTACTGTTGGGCTGTTTATCATGCCTCCCAGGGTTGAGGACCATAGTTCAAAGACATTTTTCCAAGGGTGTACCCACAAATGTTTCTATTGCCTAAAGGGACATTAAATATAATGGGTCATTTAAAAGGGATTACTGGTGTGAATTATGCTGGTGCAACATTTTCTCACCTGCAAGAAAAGAGATAGCAGGAAGAGAAAGCAGATGTTACTGACACATATAGAGCACGCAGAGTCAACCAGGAGAGTCAGGAAGGCAGCGAGCAGGGACCTGTGGCATCGACCTGTTTACTCTGCGCTCCCAACAAATATTCACTGTTTTACCAACAGAACAAATTCCCATTCTGGCCCCTCCACATGTATAAATGAGTGCCATGTCCCGGAATTAATGGACTTAACAAGCCCAGTGACCAGAAAAGTGCTTAGGCTACGAATTTGCTCAACAGAAGTGCAGTGTCAAAGGGTTCCTGTCTGGTCACACGTCCAAAGGGAAAAGGTTCAACAGTTCATTGATGGGAATGCTTTTTATGTGCTCCAGTCTGCCAGTGGGGAGGGTAATCGAGTCCGGCAGGCCGGCGGGGGCTGAATGGCAGCCGTGGGGGCCATGGGATCAGTGTTTTGATAACAAGTGTCTGCTGCTCTTTGGGCCTGGGGCTTGATGCCTTTTGTGCTGGTCCTACTGTCCGTTAGGCCTGCATGACTGCGTGCCGTGTCAGAAAGCTCCACAGACGTGGACGTGGACACGCACTGGGCCCCCCTTCGCCAGCTCCACAGTCCTGCAGAGGCCTCCAAAACACCCGGCTGTAAATACAGCATCTCACAGAGTCAGAGTTTCTTTTAAGTGCCTATCCCCCAGTGGAACACATTTTAACACGCCTCGCATTGTCTCGCTGTGTGAGGCTTGGACTGATTAAATTGTTTCCATTGCCCACTTGGCTGAAGGCAGATATTTAGTCAGGGTCAGTGTGTGCAGTGACAATAAGCCCCACCTGTGTGTTTTGGCCTCCATCAGTTGTGGTCTCTGCTCCACTATTGGCTGAAAAAGGGTCGTATCTGTGCAGCAGAGCAAACCTGGCAGCACCACCCCGACCTGATGTCATCTGATGTTACAGAGGATCCCTGTTTAGCCGTGCTCTGCTGTTTATCAACACTTCGGCTGGCACATATTCCGCTCATGTCCCCGGTAGTCAGCTGTGGACGCAGAGTCGGTTCAGGACTGCACATGCTCTGCAGTGATTTATGCTGGCGTTAAGCAATGAGGCTGAGCTCACCACACTAATGGTTCTCAAGGAGCTCAGCTTGACTTTGTTATAAACACGCAGCCAACAACAGCCATATCCTCAGAAGTTGATTAGTGGTTGTGTTAGTGACATGTTAGTATATTGCCAGTTGATATTCTAAACTGATCGCTATAAAGTGGATTTTAATAAATATCATTATTCGTCTCTGGGAAAAGTCCCCTTTCTCGGTGAGGTTTTGCTCTGTATGCCTGGAAACCAGAATAGGCAGCAGACTGACAGTCCACTATGAATGATTCAGACAGGTTCAGGGTCAGTGATCTGTGGCCCATCCATCTCCACATCCAGTCCTCACCTCAATTTAGAGAAGACGGAACATCACAAAGCACGAGTGGAATTTAGACTCTGTGCCGCAAGTTGTTTTAGGGATTACCATTAACAAACACAGCGGAAATCACATGTGAGCATCCCCTCATGTGACTTCCTATTGCTTCTGCGAGCGTTAAAAACCCCAATGCCTTGGCTTTTGATTTCGGCCAGCTAAAGTACTTATTGCATTTTCTCTGCTTGGTTTTGCTGCACGCAAAGCGGGACGGCAGGAATACTGAGCGAGGGAGGAAAAGGCAGGAAAATGGCAAGGAAGGGAATAAAAGATCAACAAATCCCCGCTCCACTTTCAACTCAGCTGGCGCACCTGCTTCGTGTTAAGAGTGCAGCGCTGGTTGTCGGCAGGCATGGGGTCACTGGCGCAGACACTTTGAGTCTGCGCTCAAAGGCATGGCGTACAGATGCCGCCGTAACCTCTGCTCACATTTATAGAAACCGTTGCCCCCACATGTGCTTGCATGTGTGCAATACGTACGCTCACCTAACTGGCGTAGCGGCTCCTCTCCGAGTCGGGAGGCGTTTCTTACATAACCGCATTGTCTCACTTCCCTCATGTTGGAGTGTGTTTGATGAAAAGTGTGGTTAGTTCGGATCCTATAATGCTGCGTCACCCAAACCACTGTGGTACATCTGAATGTGTAATCTGGTATTACCATTGAGATGTCATGCTGTAATCTTCCTGCTCCTTTGGCTGCACAAGTAGCATCATTAATTTTGAATGGTTGATCGCATTTGTTTTGTAGAAACTACAACCGTACACCAGCTACTTTTCCTCCTGTTTTCCTCTTTTACACACACACATGCATACGTGGACGGGCTCAGAAACACAGATTTCATGGGGATGGCGTACAATGAGCGGGGTCGAGGTTTTCCCGTGCAGCTTTACCGAGCTCGTTGTCTGCGCACAAGATCTGATATTGGTTTTCCGACCGCGCTGTAACTAAGCTCATTTTATTTCATAGTTGGAGGAATGCAGCTAAAAGAGGTTCTAAATGCTTGGATGCTTTTGGAAAAGACAGGCCAGAGCATTGATTCACTCCACCTGCCACCAGCACACTGAGCCCAGATTCTGCCAAAGCCTCAGACCCACTACTGTTTTCTTTTACTCTGCACCGCAAGAGTCCAGAGCCTTTTCAAGACTTGATAGATCCCTGTGAAATTCCTCCTCACGGACTCCATTTCATTGTCTGATAAATGCCATTTCCACCCCACAGGCTTAACCTCAGCCGTCGGATTCCACCTCGGCACCATTTGGTTCTGATAAACATTTCCATCAATAGCAGAAAATGAACAGATGTTTATGAATTTGTAATAGACTGTATACAGTTGTGATAGCATCGCGCTGATGAGGTTTGACATTTCGGGTAAAAACTGCATTTTTCCTTCATATGGTCGTGACGAGAAAATTCTGGTGTTCAATCTGGGCCAAATTTTAAGGACACCTGACGGAGCATCATGTTCTCATCCATCAACCGCAGAATTTATTTTAAGGTTGACGACATCTGTCTGATTGTTCTTCTCCTTTTTTTTTTCTTTTACAGTTTCTCCCAAGTGTGTCCACAATGGAAAGGATTTCTCTGAGGGAGAGGTGTACCGCATGGACCCCTGCTGGCTGTGTCAGTGTCGGGGAGGAATCTCCTTCTGCTCCAAGGCAGAGTGCGCCGAGCTGGACTGTGAAAACTTCTACATTCCTGAGGGCGAGTGTTGCCCCGTCTGCATAGGTACACGCGTTTATGATATTCTTAAAATACAGCAATCCAGTTCATCATTTTAACACGGTTGAAGCTGGAAGATTCTGGTGTTTTGGAGGTTTGAGACACTGATGCAGCAGAGGTAGAGGCGATATCAAAATTCCCTGACCCTTACCTCCAGCGACCCCGCTATAATGGAACCCTCATATAACCAGCTTCCACGGTTGTTAACAATTCTGGCATATAGGCGGCACAGCAAAGAGCCAGCCGGGGGTTCATTTCCACTAGCGGAGACTTAAGAACATAAAAACCCTCTTTTAGTGTGCAGGGCATGCCTTTGTAAGCTGTGGATCTGACTTAATGGGGGGGTGGCCCACTTGCAAAAACACATGTGCTCAAAGCCAGGTAAGGAGCTCTGATATGTGTATTTGGGATTGTTAAAAAAAAAAAAAAAAAGTGGGGGGCTCCAGCCCATGTGGCAACCACATTACAGTCTGCCAGAGGTTTGTGGATGGAGACGGTAGCCAGCTTTGGCCTTTGCCTGCGTGGCTACAGTTGATCAGATGCATGAGAGAGAAGACAAAAGAGTGCAGAGGAGATCATGTTAGGTCAGTGTTGGAGGTACACCTGGAATGTGCAGGCGTTTAGATGGTGTGGAATGCTTTCATCTTCACCTTATGGAAAGCTGCTCCTTCTTACTGCATCACTCACCAAGAGGAACATTGGATATGATGCTCAATGTGGATTACAAGGTGTATTAAAGGTTAACTGGTGGTGATTATACTTAAAGCAGTACTTAATATTTCTATGGGAAAGAGGTTGCCTGTCATGATAATCTCTGAGAGAATTACCAGCAGATTCTAAAGATTTACAGAGACTTTTTTGTTGTTGTTGCTGTTTTACTTTGTTCTCACCATTCATCTCAACATTGTTCAGAGTAGGACAAAATCATTATGCACACTCCCACCATCATCAGACATTAGATAGAATGTGACTAGATGGTGACCATGGTGGAGAATTTAGCAATTGAAGAGTCGGATATTTTACTCATGAGCTGGTAGTGACCAAAAATTGAGAACTGGATTTGTCAGATGGACAAAAACATCAATCTTAATGTTGCTCTCTGTCTGTTGGATGTATAGATGCTAACACAAGCTGTGAAGTAATAATAGGTCAGTGTTTCGTTAACAGTTTGTCTGCAATGAATAAGAAGTAGCTCCTGTGCATTACATCAAGGTATGACAAGCATGTGCAAGACTGTGTGATTTAGCCTGTGAAAACTTGACTCGGGTTTGGAGACTGTTTAACAGCAAGCAAACAGAAAAATGCTGTTGAGTTGCATTGTGGGACCTGTAGGCTTGCTTGCAGCTTGACCCAGTCCTGGCAGCAAACTGGACAGCTGGACCTCCGCTGCATTGCTTTCAGCAACTCTTCTATTCAGTCTCTCTTACAAAACAGCAAAATGATGAGTGAAACTTCTAAAGTTTTATTCTAACAGTCAAAGTGCAGCCCGCATGAGGTGTACACAGCGAGAGAGAAAAATAGATCCTGTTCAGGTTAATCACAGCCAGATGGTCGGAACCTCAATAGCCAAAACTCAGCAGGGATCAGATATTACAAATAGGACTCCTGTGTACAGTACACAGCAACCTTCCTTCCTCACACACATTCAGCGAGCAGCGCCGCACCCGTAAACACAGAGAAATATGAACACACCTTTGTTCCACACTGACACCGAGAGAAAATGCTGAGACCACCTTCTAACCTGCCTCCAAAACAAGTTAAACTGTTTATAGTAAATGGGGGGAAAAAAGGCTTTCAGAGCTGGGCTAAGGCTTCATACATCACCTCAAGCTGAGCAGAGGGGCTTCACAGATTGGCTTTTAAACTGTCCCAAACTTTATGGTTCCTACTTAAGGCTAATGGCAACAGAAATGAAATTTTTAAAGTGCTTTCTTTGCTTTGGAGCAGAATTTATGGTATAAAATGCTGGTCTAGCCTTTGACCTTTTGGGGTCACAGCTGAAACTCACATGGAGAAGTTCAAGCTTTCATCCAAAAAGCGAGCGGACGCTGTGGGGAACAGCAGTTATGAATGTCATCGACCGTTCTGTTTCCAATTACCAAATCTCTCTCAGGACGGCGGAGCAATGGCCCAAATTTCAATTGTCTCATTTGAACTTAAATCCCTACGTATGTTGTCACAAAGCCAGCGGCCTCGCCCATCGATAAATGTAAATATGTCATCCAGATTCAACACTGTTTTCTCTCTAGTTCTTGGTCAAAGGCCAGTTTTCATAACTTGTTAGCTCCCTTGTGGAGTATCCTGCTTCCTACAGCTCTGCTCTCACTCTGCCTCCCGTTAATTCAATCACAGCAGAGGATGTAGTATCAGACACACTGCACTGCAGCTTTGGCTTTAATTTAATGGCTTTCATTCATGGAAGCCAAACCAAACTATACATGTGACTTCGCTCAGGATTAGATCAAACATTCTCGTCTTCGCGCTTCTTCCAAAAACCCACAGTCTCTTTCTTTCCTCTCAGATGTGGAGCTGCTGTCGATGGACAGCACTAAGGCCAGTTGCTGGGTGAACAATAAGCTGCGAGCTCACGAGGAGCAGTGGAAAGAGGACGACTGCACGTTCTGCCAGTGTGTGGATGGAGAACCTCACTGTACAGCCATGGCCTGCAAACAGAGCTGCCAGAACCCTGTGAAGATCCCTGGAGAGTGCTGTCCCTTCTGTGAAGGTACACTGTTGCTCCTCTTTTATATTTAATAAATATATATATATATATGTATGGCTAGCATCAATAAAAGCCACACATTAGCACACAGACCATTTAGGAGGCTCCTGTGGCCCTGCAGCTTTTCTACAGAGGCCGTGTCGGCATGGGCTCATTAAAGGGGAGGCCGCAGAGCATTCTTCAAGCTGCAGGGTTCTTTGTGTTCCTTTATTACCCTTGCCCGCCAAAATGAGACCCACCTGTGTGCGCGAGGCTACGGCATGCTTTTAACGCAGGAGGCTGCATAATTGAAGTGGATCCTTTTTTAAAAAGTAATTAGTTACAGCTCGTTGGGCCGCTCCTCCCACCGAACGTGGCAGGAGGCGTTTGATGGGAATGGCGATGGCACATGTGTGTGTGTGTGTGTCTTGTTCCATCCTCGTTTATTGTCGCTTGGCCCCGATTCAAGAGGCTCTGGGCAGCGCTAGTCTGACTTCAGTCCAGGCTGTGTTTGCGTTCTCTTATCACTGGTAGTTTTAGAATTACAACATGCTCCAGACACATTCGACTTATTAATGGGAGACAGTTCCGCACAATAAGACGGCGGTATAATCCCCCCTCAGAGTGCGACCCACCCTGGTGTAATTGCTCTACATTTATCTGTAATTACTGTTTATAAGTAGAGCGGTGTAAATAGGTAGCTATTACGGCTGGCACAGAAAGCACAGATGAAGAGCTACACCTGAGGGGCTTCAAGCACACGTATATAAAACAACAAATTCATAACAGTTCCCTCATGCAAAGCTGTCAACCTCCATCATCTCTTTTGTTCTGCAGAGCCTTCCTATGAAACTGTTAGCCCCATGCTATGTCCTCCTCTGGAGAACTGCTCCCTGTCCGGGAACGACTGCCCCTTTGGCTTCCATCAAGACAAAAATGGATGTCTCCTCTGCCAGTGTCTCAACAGTAAGTTCACTTTCCTCACTTTGTGTTTAAAGGGTTAAAGTTTCAGGGAATAGGTTGCAGAAGCATGACCGATTTATACATGTCCTCTGACATGCTGCTTCTTGCAGTCTCGCGTTACAGCGGTGGACATACAGCGCTCTATTTACATGTTTGCTCACGCTGATGTCAGGAAGAGAAACCAAAAAAAGACAACCGCTCGGTTTTGACAGCACCGCGGACATGTTGATATTCATCTCAACTTATGTGTGTCTTTGCAAGGTTCTCTTGTCACAGGAATGTTTTCTGTGAGCAGCCCCATAGCTACTCATGATGGATTGTTGTGCCCGTGATCAGATGACCTCTCTCTCAACTCTTTCAGATGACTCCTGCCCCGACCTGGGGAAATACTGCTCCCTGCAATGCCCAATGGGATATGAGAGGGATGATTTTGGCTGTGAGGTGTGCGAGTGCAGTATCCCCACGCCCAAGTGCCGACCTCTGACCTGCACTAAGACTTGCCCCTATGGATACGTGTAAGTACGCCCATCGATCTCACGGGTTTCTCATCCCCCCAAAGACCAGCAACGCTCATTTTTCAAGCATGTTTTTTTTGGTCTGTTTAAAAGGCAGCTTTGGTCCTACACAGCCACAAGACAGACGAGTTTGAGTGGCTTGTAGAGATTGGAGAATGAGAAAAATGTGCTCCAGTTGAGATGAGGGTTAAAGGGATTTAATTCTCTACATTATAAAGTAATTTTCCCCCACCCACCTCTTGTATGTCATTTGCTGTGGTTAATATTATGAGGTGGTGCCCCGAGGCTGCTGCCTGTTTAAAAGGAAGTACAACAGGTTATTGCAACAGTAGTTTGGCATCCAGGATCAAAGGGTCTACCTTGGTGGCCAATCTGAGGTGTCTAAACCTATGTGTTCGTCTGAGTAATTCACTGTGAGGTCCACACCAGCCTCTCAGCCCCCCTGCGATGCCTCTCCCCCCTAATCCCATTTAACCCAATCAAACATCTGGAAGTGCTCTCTACCGGGACGCTCGGTCCCCGGGCACCACTCTCGTTTCATAAATCATCATCCTGTCACAAAACATCGATCAAAAACCAACACCAGGACAAAAGCGGCCTTTATGAGGCGCGCACAGTTCTGATATTTCAACCCCTACGCTCGCTCGAGATGGGCCCCGATAATGTGAGCAAGAGGAGAGCGGAGAGGATGAGGAGGATTCTGTGGGGAACAGAGGAGCAGGAAGTCCGAGCTTTATCCTTCATAAGCAGCTGTTTAGGTCTCGCCTCAGAAGTCTGAAATCCTGTGAGAGCCTGCCAGCCTTACAATGCAGATCTGTCTTCTCACACAGGACTCCTGCATGTAGCCACCACAAAGAAACCAAAAAGCACAAAGGATCTCTGTTTATACAGGATGTATTGATGACATCCTGTGAGCACTGTGAGGCATATGTGCAAAACTTGACGGCCTCGAAAGTGGGACGAATGCAAACCTTATAAAAAATGTTCATACGCGTGTTAAACTCTCCTCTCTCGTGTTAACGGTCCACATTCTCAGGCCGGTTCTTACGGCTCTAAGTCGTGTTTGGAGTGCCGGTAGTGTGTTTTCCATCCTTCATAGCTCAAAATCATCACTGTGACCACACAGGTCATGAATGGCATTCTTCTGGCCATCACAGTTGCGGCACACTGGAAATTGTGCCGAGCCAGCAGTCCCAGACCGGGGGCCCCCAGTGTCTCCCCAAGCCCCTCTATCCCCCTGGAGCCCAAAGCGCTGCTTGGCATTCCACACACCATCTTTAAACAAAGCCTTGCTCTAAGGTCGCAGCACTCTCTGTCTCCGTATTTGTACAGTGAGGCTCTGGCCAAACCCCGCACAGTGTTGTTTCAATGGCTGTTATTGCTGTTTCAGCATAGATAGGCTCCTGTGTTTGCTGAGCCTCACATGCTCTGTCCTCTTTATGGGACACAGCACCGCATCATCGGTCCGAGGGGGTCGTTTAATTTACACCGGCACGGCAGATGAAGATTAATCGAGTAATTATCCGAGCTTAATGAGGCCGTTGCATTATACAGGAATCATCACTTACCTGCAGCGAAGAGGACAGAGAGGAAAGGCTAAGTGGCTGAGTGAGAATGAATGAGACAGGGAGGGAAGGAGAAGGAGTCCAGAGTGAGAGAAGTGTAGACACAGGTCATTCTTTCATCTGGGTTTTGACAATTTATCAACCTGCAGCTCATCCATGTTTTATTAGGCAGATAATTGGATCCAACTGGTCTATTTCCAGCCTCTGAGCTTCGTTCTGCTCTTCTCTCAGCATGCAGGGCTTTCCCTTTAACGCTGTTATGCTCTGACGATTGAGCTCAAATCGTCACTTGTATTTGACCATCAAAAGGCCTGTCTTTATCTGTAACATCAACAGAGCTGTATCATCTACATTAACTCTTATCTTGCCACTGCTCACTGATCGTCTTAAATGTCCTCCAGAGACTTTTTGGAGCAATAAGGATGGCAGCGGGGTGAATTGAAAGCATCTGAATTAGCTTTAGATTGGCTCTTTCAGAGTCTTTGGGTTGGTATGATGTGCAAACCGCAGGGATCTCACATGTTGGCCTTTTATTTGCCCTTCTTCAAAGGCAGTTAATATAGAGAGGGGAAAGCAGCTCCAGATGTTGATTATTCTTGACTTGAGCATCTGGGTTTCACTGTGTCACAACACCATGTTGTTCCACAGATCTCCTAAAGAAAACCTCAACGTGAAGCAATTTTAAACTCTGTTTGAGCTACACAGGAGCGGTATTGTTTACTTCCTAACACACTGTTTACTTCCTGACACGCTGTTTGCTTCCTGACACGCCGTTCTCGTGATTGAGCTTTATTGTCGCGCGCCTCATCATCGCGTGCCTGTTTGTCGGCCTGCAGGAGGAACAAGCACGGCTGTGAGATGTGTCGCTGCGTCAAGTGTCCTCCCTTCACCTGCGACAAGCACTGCAGCAACGGCTACCGGCAGAACAGGAAGGGCTGCTCCATCTGCATGTGCAAAGGTAACCGAGATCTCTTTGGAATCGGGATTCATTGTGGGTAAAAGGGTTCTACAGAGGCTGAGTATTAGGTAACCAGAAAGTTGATAGGTTGCAAAGGAGACACTTCCTATCTCACAATGGACGTCTGTAGTGAGGCTGCAGCTGATGATTGTTTTAATTGTAGACTAATCAATATTGTCCTGAGTAATGGATTAGGTGTTTGGTTTATAAAATATAAATGTTGATCAGTGTTTTCCAACATCCTCACATCTTGCTTTGTCCATAATTTAAAGATATTCAGGTTATTGTCATAAAGGTATAAAAAAAAAGAAGAATTTTTCAGATTTTAAAAGCTGGAATCAGACAATCTATTTCTTTTTTCTAATCGGTTAATCGCTGCAGCTTGGTAAACGTCTTTAAACAACATTTCTTTGAGATTTTAGAAACCTCCTTTGCAAAAATCACACTGGGTTTTTACTGACTCAGTAGTACTCCCTATGAAAAAGAAAATGGAAATTCATGTTCAAAACTGATGGATTGAACTCTTGGCTAACCAAGACCCGGGCAGTATCCCAGCATTATTCCACTTGATATCAATAACATGACAGTAGATGGAAGATGCCTACTGCGAGCTGCCAACAAGCATCAGCATGAAGGAAAATTCTGAAAAGTCGTAATTTATTTTGAATTCTACACAAGCGGTGCCGCTGATAATTTATTAGGGGCTGAACGATGTGATGATTTTAAATCGTGGATGATCGTACTTTGGCGTGAGATCTGGGTTTTTTTTGCTTCACATGAGCAGAGCAACAGTTGGTTGTGGCACAACGAGGACGACATACTACGTATCTTAGGTTTATAACTTAACAACTAATCTATAACTGTATGATCACATGAATTCAATTAAATATTTATGCTCAGAACGAGGATCACGGCATCAATGAAAAGACAAAATGTTCACTTTGCACAAAATCCTGTGAAGATTTGCTCAATTTTATGTGAAATTTACTCGGCACAGTCATTTATTTATTAACCTTTCCTTTTTTTAAATAATTTAATTAGCTTGTCTTTGCTTTGCTCTATAGTCAAAAGGTTTAACTGCCATTAAACATACATTCATGGCACCCAGAGGATGAACCCTGCTTATCTTTGCAAGCTCTTAATCTTTCTTGCATATTCAGGTCAACAGTTGGACTTCAATTCATACATTCATAGTTTATCAAGACCTCTACTGAATAAGCTCCTTCTTATAATATATGCATCACCCACCTCTAAACAGTTTAAATATCGAGCTTCCTCCTCCTTATATTTACCTACAGTTCCAAAACAAGCGCTGAGCTGTAAGCAGTGTAAGTGGTGGAGGACAGGCGGAGAAAGGACAGCGTTGTGAGCGGAGATGAATTTCTGATACGAAGCTGCAGCTGTGATTTCCTGTGACCTTTTGCTTCTCTGCGTCCAGACTGGGACTTTTATGTGCGCTTATTTTGCTTCTTGTTGGTGTTTAGCTCCGTCCAGGGGATGTGTGCGCGACTCTAATTAGATTCCCTCGACCTCGGAGTTTAAAGCTAGTATGCAGAAGCCGTATTTATGCTCCACCACATTTTATGCGTTGTGTTTGTTTTGCCGTTTTAGCTGCGTTATAAATATTTCAGCCCTCATGGTTTTCTCGTATGGCGAAACGATCGGTGCACCTGGCTCCGCACCTCCACAAACAGAGGAACACACACAGACTAAACCGCTGTTTACCTGATTTTGAAACTCTTGACTCAGACTCTCTGTCGGCTACTAAAATATTTAGACAGGTAAACTTTTTTTTGGAATCTGATTTTTTTTTTGTGTGTGTTTTTTAAGATATAAAAATAGAAGAGAATAGACATCGAAACATCTGTCTGAACAGAGCAACGCTGCACAGCTCACTGCGCTCAGCTTTATTCCAGATCCCTAACAAGCTTTAAAAGCCCTGCTGCGTCAACTTCGCAACTCGGGCTCTTAACAAGGTTTATGTGTCTCAGCAACAACCTTTTAGTTTTCTGTCAGCGGAGAAAAATCAAGGGGGAAATGTATTAAGCTGCCTTCTTATAAATTGATTATTGGCAAATAAATACGCGATGAAGGAAGGTCAAATCATAACTGTTCCACTATATGAAACCATAACCACCTTGCTCTCACTTTAGCCTTTAATGAAATTGGATCTAAGACAATAACACCGGCCCATTTTACTGTAAATCATAAAGGCGCTTAATGAAATTTCCACAGTGAATTTACAAGTTTCTTTGCCACAGCAGGCTGCGTTGCTTCTTTTTTTTGTTGCACAGCTATTCCCTAGCCGCCCCACTAATGTCTTTCATGTCTGTGTCTGCAGACAGTGGCCACGTCCCAAGCACCACCGCGGCTGCCCCGATGCCCAGCTACTGCCTCACCTCCAACGGGCACCGATACGAGGAAGGCGACGGCTGGCACGACGGCTGCCGTGACTGTTACTGCCACTCGGGCCGAGAGATGTGCGTGCTCATATCGTGCCCCGTTCCCAGCTGCTCTCACCCCGTCGTCAAGCCCGACCAGTGCTGTCCGACCTGCGAGGGTACGTCTCGGCGTTTCAAACTTCTTTTTTTTAAAATACAGGATCAAAGGATCATTTCAGGTTATTGCAACTATTTTCAGAATGTTGGCTGGTGTGTAGTAAAAACACAGCGAGTCAGTTCTGGGAATGCGTGGCTCAGAGGAAGTCTGATGGGGCAAGAAACACAAGCAGGCAGGTTTTAAACAAACCACCATGTTGGTTAGACTCATTTGGAGTAAATGAGGGAGAATGGTGCAATTGTTCACCGAGCTATTCATTGAAAACCTCCATCCTGGCTTGCACAATGACTTTCTAGTCCCCCTACCTCCTGTACATGTCTCCAGTGCACTACATCACAGTATTTCCTGATCTCACTGTATCATCGTCACAACCAACGAAGCTGAAGTCCTAAACAGAAAATAAAGTTTGAATAAAGTGGAATAATCCTTTTCAAAGACAGTGCTCTAACAGTGATTCAGCTTTGGATCGTTTTCTAGCTTTTAGATCTTAAAACTTGGTGGCCTCTTGAACTTCCAAACACACATTCTCTATCTGTTTCTCTAAAAATGGAAGGCACACTGATCCACACTTTTTTCTTTTTTTTTTTATCCACCACAACCCTTCGACTCATGAGGGATATTTATGGAGGAGTGACTCAGTTGGCTGTTCAAATATTTAGGAGTAAAAGAATGTCTACAACTTTCAGAAGCTTTGCACACTTTGCAGTCAGGGGACAACAGGCTAACTCTTTGCAGATGTCTGCTACTCTGCTGGACGGAGAAATGTTTTCACTAAATTAGTGTCAAAAAACAACTGTAGACACCAGCGTCCACTGCCTGAGGCTTCCTTTTTAATGGACAGTGGCCTCTTAAACGTCCTTATTCCAGTAACCTCCGACTGTTTGCTCTTTGGAGATTCTTGTCTCACATTATTGTGTAGCAGTTACGGTTAAGGGCTGAATGTTTGGCAAGAAAGCCGGGATTTGATGTTAGAGGTGACTGATTTTGTGCTTCTCCTCTTCCTCTATGTAGATGAATCAGGCAGCGGCCAGCCAGAGGGGATGGACATGGTGGTGTGCAGAGCCCCTGGGGGGGAGTTTTATGTGGAGGGGGAGACCTGGAACCTGGACGAATGCACACGTTGCACCTGCAGGAAGGGACGCGTCCTGTGCGACACTGAAGTGTGTCCCCCGGCTCTCTGCCAGACCCCAGTCAGGAACAAGGACACCTGTTGCCACGTATGCCCAGGTAATCAAAAAAGCCCAGGCTTTGCAAAAGTTGGGGAACTTTCAGTCGGGGGGGAGGCTGAATACCTCCAGGAGGGGCCGTCAGAAGTTTAGGTAGAAGGCAGAGAAAGTTTAAAGCTGTTTTGGATGTGCTATCAGCATGTGGTTTTGGAAGGTCTTGCATGTTGCACTCTGTCGGGCAGTTTTATGTCAGGCACACAGGCTCATAAAGAAACCAGCCAAGACCGGTTGGGTTTACATAGAGATCCTCCAGGCAGGCAGCAGCACATGTGGACCGCTTTTACCCGGCGGCCCACACTGGAGGTTCATCTAACTCCCTTTGCTGGAAGCGAAAGAATGCAACTAATCTTTGCTGAATCTGTGCTATTTCTCCGGTTATGGGAATATAGTTTGAAACAAACGTCTACGCAAATGCAAAACCACACGCATATTTTATTTACAACTGTTCCCAAACACTCCGGTCTCTCTTATACACTTATAAACTTCTAAACAACATATCCCAAGCACTCCCAAGCATGAGGCCCACAAATCAGCAATGCATGACTGCGCCTGAGAGCTGCTCCTTGAGAATGCCGGTCCCGCCTTATCGCTGCATCTCCCTTCACAAAAGCAGATTGTCAGAGGCCGGCCTTTGATATATGTATGGGCCTGGTCACCAGGAATGTGGGAATAATACACATCTCACTGACAGGCCCTGTGATGTATGTGTACAGTGGAGTGGTGCTGTGTGTACATGCTAACGAAGTCTTTGGTCATGAAAAGGCAATAGATCTCAGGCCTGCGGGGGTCTGATGAGAGAGACAGATAAGGTCCGAGCCCTAGCTGACATCTCCCATATGGAGTCACTTGCGTTTGTGTTTAACATACAGTAAAGCATCTTATCTTGCGCCCTAAAGGCCTAATAACCCTTTGTGGACTGATGTGTTGTACAGCAAGGTTAAATGAAGGAGTTGTTCAGAAGCAGGCGCCTTGAGTGTACAAAAGTAGGTTTTTACTTTAAAAAAAAAAAAGACTATTTTCTCCAAGCTGTAGCTCTACATTTCCAGGTAAAGAGGCCATAAAGTGACATACCGCAGTTTCACCTTTGTGGTTTTCCATGATTGACCCAATTTACACCTGTGTGCACCCGTAGACGAGACCCTCAGCCCCTTGCTGCCGGTGAACAACAGCCAACAGGAGTACTGCATAACCAGCGATGGGGACGTGCTGCTCGCCGGAGACTCCTGGAAGGCCAACGCCTGCACCAGCTGCACCTGCAACAACGGCACCATTCAGTGTTTCTCCCAGCGCTGTCCTGCTGCCAACTGCAGGGTGCCCGTTTTGCGCAAGGGCCAGTGCTGCCCACACTGTCTCGGTGAGTATTTAAGTGCGTCGCAGTAAAGAGAAAAGCAGCCTTTTATACAGTGCATGCGCCAAAGTTGTCTTTAGACTCAGCTTTGAGTGTTTTTATTGCACTGAAAATACAAAATAAAAAAAAAAAGAGTGAGTTTAGACACTAAATGTAGTTTATATTCCATACTAAAATGTAGTTTATGTAACACTTCCACTTACTGTGCAAAAAAATACCATCCTTTATAAGAAGTGGTGCCACTGGAACAAGACACAGCCTGTTGAGGGAAAAGCTGTAATTCATAACGCCGCATGTCAAAGAAAGAGAGGGAATGCCAGCGTCCAGACTGACTGTGTTTGTGTGTGTTTGCTCGTTAGACGTAGCCACTCTGGCGCTACATAGGCAAACACGATCACTCACAAAACATTCCATGTGACACACACATACACACCGTCCACTCAGAGCGAAAACATTCCTCAAGCATCCGCGCATTCACACGTGTTTCCTGTCCCCCGGCTGAATCGGCCCGCGACACTCTCTCCGCAGCGGCACAGGAAGGCAAAGTTCCATGTCAGCTTTTCCTATAGAGGAAAACCCCGGCATAGGCTTCCATTGTTCGCCCCGATATGTAGCCGTTTCACCGGGCCTTTTGTTTTTGTTATTTGCCCAGTGGAAAACAGAGCTTTTTACGTAATGCCTCAACAAAGCGTTACAGTGGAAGTTAAGCGGACAGATCCTATAAACACAGCTTATCAGTTGAGACACCAGGGAGTTTATACACTACCTCACAGTTACAAATATTTATGCCTGGCAATGTTTCGCATAACAACGGTCACATTGGTAACGGATATTATTTCTGCCTGAACAGACGTGACCACGTCGGTGCCCGTGATGGTGTCCACAAACGCCCCCAAGACGACAGCCGCCACCACGGTGGACAGTACGCTGTGGATCACTACTGTCACCGTGCCACCCATCATTGCTGATACAGGTAGCTGCTTATTAAATGTCCTCTTCCAGCATGTCTGCACACACATGCACTCTCCAGCAGTAACTCCATCCGAGTTACTTGGCATGTTTGCAATTTTATCCCTGCCAATCCATTTCAGTGTGTAAACTAATGGAGGGGATTAGGGATGGCTTGATAAACGAGCGAAACAGATACTAACTCATGCTGAACTAAAACAATAATGATAAATGGACATTGGCAAAAACATGATCCCTCTCGGGACACCCATCGTTAATTCTTTAGCGTGAACAACTGAGCTGGGAAATCTGCCAAACGTCAAAGCAAAGAAATAAGCTGTTTTCAATTTAGATTTCGTAAACGTTGCGGGCAAAGTAACGATCGAGCTTTTTTTTTTGTGGGTTGCATACTCAAAATCAATGCTGCCTGTGTCCCACAGATGAGCCGGGCTTGGGCGAGACTTACCCCAGTCAGACAGAGATGGCCCTCATCTACCAGTCAGCCGCCTGGATCCTGGCAGGCCTCCTCCTCGCCATCATCATCTTTCTCATCGTGGCGCTGCTCGTCAACAAGAAAAAGAAGTGGGTGCAGATGTCCTGCTACAGCGCACCAAAGAAGGTGAGGGGTCAACTGTAGATCACATTAATCAGCTTATGATTTTTGAAGCGCTGGCTTGAGATGGTGCAAAATTGCACAGATTCCCTCATATAGAGAGCCGTATGTGCCAAGTTTAACTGCAGATAAGTCAGGAGGCATTTTCCTTGATCTTCCAGTTACTGCTTGAACCAGTGCTAAAGCTGTCATGACTTTAGGATTAATGTAGTTTCCCTTTGCTCTGCACTTTCAGCTGGTAGAAGGTCACGTCAGTCATAAAATCTCTACCGTGAAATGAGAGTGAAAAATCTGAATTTATCAGAAGTCATCTCTTTCACAACGAACAAGCGCATAAATTAGTACGCTGTCAACACGTGCTCGCTGTGAGCTGAGTTACGGCTTCAATCTAACCCACAGGGATTGTGTTGTTTGTGCGTTTTCCCCCTGCAGACAGTGATCCTCAAGAAGCATGTAAACAAGAATTCAGTGGTGTACATGGAGCCCTCCAAGGAGAACAAATTTCAGAATGTGAAGAGCGACTGCGGCATCATCCACTTCTCTCCGGAGATGGGCTCCCCCTGCACGGACAAGATGACCATCCCCAGGGCCAAGCTGAGCATGGGCAACGACTGGACGCCGCGCTAAAACAAAAGAACAAGAAAAAAGAAAAAAAAAACCACCACCACCCGTCTCACTCTGCAGATCAGAGCTGTCCGGCACCTCCCACTCTCTCCTGCTGTAATCCTGGTGGTTCGTGTAGCAGTGCACACACCTCGAGCGCCGCCTTCTTCCCACCCTTTTTCTTTGTGTGACAGTAAAACCGCGGATGCTCTCCAAGAGACCAAGCAAGTGACCACTGTTTCTTTCATTATGTGTCCATTTTTCTTCTGTATTTTGGGTGGAGTGACGTGCTGGGAGGCGGATGGACGGGGTGGACACATAAAAGGACACAGCCACTCTGGGCTCTGCTTTAAAACAGAGAAGGAGGCCGCCAGAGAGGCTCCTCTGTCAGAATCAGACTTTGACTGTGAACACTGTAATATTACTGCTTATTATTATTGCCTCTTTTGAAACTGGAACTTTTGGGGCAATAAGAGGAGCATTAAAAAAAAAAGAAAGAAAAAAAAAAAAGCTTTAGGACAGGGGGTTGGGCTGTAGTTGAAAGGGGGGCGTTAGAGGATGCTGCCCTCCCTAAGAGCAGCAGTGCTTCATGGATGTAATCATTGTCATCAGCAGGGAGCCCAAAGGAACTGGTAATCCCGTTGGATCAAATTGGGTTCTGCAGCCAAATCACAACAAGTCAGCAGGCTTTATATCGACCCCCAGATCCAAGCCCCTGCTTTAGAATGTGTGGTTTCCATCTTAGTTTTTTGTATATTTCTACAGTATTTGTACTAGATGTAGTGTTGTTCTTGGCCACCTCTTGTTTTTATTATGGGTGTCTCTGTGGGGCCAGATTGAAACATTTTGAAATGCCAGTCTAAACATTCCCCCCCATCCGGTACAGGAAGGACACGCTTCCCAGATAATGGCGTTGCTTCTACCTTCAAGTGACCTGAGTCATTCCATTCAAAAATCTCCCACAACAAACCGCATTTCCTTCAAATGAAATATGCGAGCCCACTCTCTAAACTTGTCCGCAGCGCAGCAGCCGCCGGTCGTCATATTTACACCGTTTCCCAAAGGAGTCGGCCAAGAATTCATCTCAGAAACATCAGAGCGGAAGCGGAGCGATGCCCTTCCAGGTAGAATGTCATTTGTATTGTCGGCAGAGGAGACCAAATGGTGCCAGACGCTTCATCTGAACCTATAAGGAATGTCTTTGATGCTATGCCTCACTTCATCGGAATCAGAATAACCTTAATAATCCCCATAATTTCATTCACAGCTGTGTGTGTGGGGGGAGCTACTGTTCACACATGCCAGTGGCGGTTAGTAACAATTCTTTTTAAAGCCTTACTTCTATAGCCTTAATGCATTTTCTTTGTCTTGTTTTTGTTTATTAACTGTTTGCCCATATAAAAAAAAAAGCCCTGTAATTTATTCACCCATTATTAAGATGAACAGATTGTGTTGTGCAGTTATGGTTCTCATCAGCTCTTCATATACAAGAGAATCATGTCGACATATACGTTTAAGGGGAGCTAGTTAGCATCTTGTACATAATGGTACACATTACGACATCAGCAGCGTGTTAAAGAGACGTAGCACTTTTCTTTGGAGCCAGTGTTTTAGAAAGCACCCTGCGGGATTCTTGGAGGGATAAAGGCCCTAATCAGGGATTTGATAGGCATATTAAGCACACAGAGATGTTAAACCACTCAAGTGAACACGCTGTTGCAGCTAGAGGCTCCGTACCAGTGCGATCAGTACGGGGAAGGACAGAGTCTGAGAAGCGTTGCAAAACAACCTGGGGTTTCAAAAGAAAAGGTTGGATCAGAGCTATCAATCCATTGCCAATATCTTAATACAAAGACGATTTTGATGCCAAAATTGGTTGGAGACCAATTCATATTGAAGTGTTTTCGTAACTCGGTAGATTTGTATCTGTTTGAATCATGACTATGTGCTTTAAAATGAAGAGGCGACTGTAAAAGCTTACGCAATTCTTTGTTCTTCTATGTGTTTAAAAAAAAAAGAAACAAAAAAAAGGTAGTTTAAATAAGTAGGACAGAAGAGTACCTTATTTATTTTTTCACATAGCTTTATTTATTAATACTAAACTATAGTTTGAGATTTTTTTTTTTGAAAATGAACTCCTAGTAGCCAAAGCTGCTGTACATTGTAGACCATTTACCATTTCTATCTGCTATATTCTATACAACCTTATTTATTTCACTGTTGCAAATCTTGTAAATATGTTTCCTAGATGATGAACTGTAACATTTACACTTTTTTTGAAAAATAAATGTGTGAACCAAAGTGGCGTGCAGCTTTGATACTTCAACTGCATCAGAGGACCAATTCCCCAAAGTGCACTGATGTCATCCAAGATGGTATCTGTTAGCGGTTCTTGATTCACTTGCAGGCTTCTACACATCTGGTCCTGGACTTTAGCTCCAAATGGGAATTTGTCTCCTCTTAGTTCCTTTAAATCTGATGGTTTGCTCTTGCTTACCACGGTCGTGCTCTTATCTCGGTAGCACAAGCAGATGTGTTCAGTGGAGGTGGCTTGTTTCTGAGGCGGAGGTCCTTCGAGATGAGTACTAGTGAGGAGCGAGAAGACCTCTCATCTATCCAATGAGCTAATAAAACACCGGAAAACAAAAAGACATGCGGGCCAGGCCTGGAAACCTGGATAATCCTGAGTGTAGACGGCGCTGTTGTTTTGACTTGTCCGGCAAAGCTTGCTCATAAACTTCAAGGTGAGGAAGCTTCTCCGGAAGGATCAATAAAGCAAACAGTGAGGTCAGTTTCCCAGGCCTTGAACAAGTCAAATACTGTAATACGAAGCTGTCAAAGTTGTACTGAGACATCTTCATAACTTCGATGAGTATCAGCTCCAGTAAATGACAGTAGATCAGAAGGTAAAACTCAATACTCTGATTGATAATCGTAGGCACCCTCAGGCTGAACATGGCTGTTAATACACGTCACACTTTTTTACACATACGTCAAATCACAGCATGTGGGAAAAAGTGATTTATTCCTTCTATTCATCTTGCTGCGAACTAGAAATGTAAAACAAATAATCTTCGATAAAAAGCCCTTTCTCTTTCAAACTCTCAGGTTCTATTAAGGCAATGAAGTCCACTCGACCACAAAACACAGAGAGGCTTTGGGGAAAGTTACCGGGCTTTGCTCTAAAGGCTGAAGTACCATTTAAGATTGTAACAAAAAAATCACCTGTTTCTTTGGGGCTCACACTTTCGTAGATAGAAAAGGTATAGATCTGTCAATCTTCAAGCAGTCTCTGCAAGTCCAAGGATTAAAAACAGTCTCTGGGAGTCGACTGAACATCAAACAAGGCGGAATATCTCCCAGGCCGGCGGAACTCCTTGGTTTTCACAGAAGGATCTTGTAGTAGTCGTCCTTGTAGCTGTACAAAACCACCACAGCCACCCTGCAAGAGGACAACATTTGTCTGTTATGAAAATTGGAATCATTTTGAAGACAAGGGGGGAAAAAATAAAAACACATGGTGGAGTTCCAAGTGGAGCATCTAAAAGTCAGGACAATGAAATTCAGCCAGGAGGGTTTCCAGGAAGCCAGATTAAGAGGCCGGTCCTGTTGAAATAACAGAGCAGACAACCCTGCCAAGAGTCCATGTCCAGGGTATCGGCACCCCATAACTCACAGTAGGAAGGAAAATCACCTTAATACTTAAAGTCCGCTCCGGTCATTGATCAAACCCCTAAAAACTCATCTCACTGTATTACAGTTACATATTTATTCATGTTAGGGTTTTTTTTCTCCAATGAAACTAATCCCTTCCTGCCCTAAAATGACTGAAATGTAACTCTACACCATTGCTTCCTCGACTGCTCAAATACTATCAGACTACTCTGCAACACTGTCGTAGGCTGTAATCTTGGAGTTATTAGTCATACATGCTCAGAGTGGGAAGTGATTCTGAAGACGAATAATGATACGTAAATACTGCAGTTAGACAGAATTATTTCCTCATGTTTGTTGCGTGTAAAATCTCAGGAATACAAATCTGTGTTTTTCAGACGGACACCGGTACACTGCAGCTTCAAGGTGGACACAATCGCCTATTTTACTCATGATGTGCAGTCCAGCATATTAAAAACAAGGTTTAAAGGGTCTGTGTGTATGTGAAATCACTATTAAGGTTTGTTAAGTCTAAATTATCGCTTTAATTTTTGGTGCTCTACAGTTGTGCCACTCTAGGAGCTCCCTATAGGAGAATATTAAATGATGAATTTCAAACATTAGAATGAATTTTTGCACAATCATTCATGGAGGAATGAGGAGGAGGAAACCTACCCAACCCCCAGACTTCTCCTCTTGTGATACCATGAAGCTGACTTTTTGGGTTTGAATGGAATGCTTGGAAATCTGGTACGGACATCAATGTTCTCTTAAGGATGAATTGTTTAAACTTTGGTCGTAATTCTTTCAAGCACCACTATCAGTTGAATAAGAAAATGCATCCAACACCTGCTGAACTAACGGCGTGAGCATCGGCTGCACCTCGTGTTTAGTGCTAAGCAGAAAATGACAGCATGATGACGCCCTGAGATTGTGAATAGTGTAAACAATGTACCTGCTCAACATCAGCCGGTTAGCACAGCCATTGTGTGGATGTTAGTAATATCATTTGGTTCAAGGTACCACTTTGTCCAACCACAGCCTCACAGAGCTGCTAGCATGGCCGCGGACTTGTTGAAACAGCGGTGAGGCTACAGGTTTTACATGCAGGTCTTGCCCGCAGTCGTTTTGGCTCAAAGCAAAAGGTCAGTGACTGCAAAGCCTCTGGGATAAGTTTAGTTTATGGTCCTGCTGCAGCCAGGAGACTGCTGCATAAGCCCTTTACCCCACTCATCTGGCCTCAGTTGCCTGTGCCCTACATTCAATGAAAACAACTAAACAAAAGTATAAAAACACATGCTGAATATATCCATTGTTGCCTCTGTGATCCTCATTTATCAGTCAAGGCTTTTACCCCCTAAATGGCAGCTCAAACATAGAGCAAAGACAGGAAATTAAAACCAACTGTTGTGGAGAGGCAAACAGGAAGAAACAGAGGCTTTGATTTTTCTTGTTACCATCTCATTCATGAAAGAGAAAATCCACCGAATCCCTCACAGGGTTGCTCTCCGTAGGCACTCCCAACACTAAAAGCTCAAAAACAGAGGATTTAGCTAAGGTCCTGAAAAAAAAAGATTCTGCTCAGGAGCTTGGGAATATTAACCATTCCATCTAAACCCACAGTAATGGATGGAGTTAACCCGCCCCCCCCCTGAGCTGCAATCTAAGTGTCAATCAACTGGGGTGTTAAGAGCCACACACCAGAAGACCAAACAAGGCAAATCCTTCTCCAGATTTCACCTCAGGAAATGGGATCAGCTGAGGATTTGATGTTCTGCAAGGCAGTAGTTATCTGTCTAACAGTTCCCTTTGAAGGGCTGACTGTCACTGCTACACCTGGAGTGTGTGGGCTTGCTTGGAGCTTTGGAGTGGCAGCTGCCTGTAAAAGGAAGTCTGCCTTGTTGCCTTTTTTTTTTACATGGTCTTTAACATATTTCACTGTTTGCCTCAGGTTTCATTTTAGGAAAAATAACAAGTTAGTCGTGGGTGGAAGCGCGTGGGAGCGAGCAGAGAGCCGAGGTCGTGGGATCTCTGGCTCACCTTCCGCAACGGCTCCTGCTGGGACCAGACATCCACGACTGTTTGTTCGGAAAATGTCTGCACAGTATCAAGTTGCTCCTCTTTCTTTGCTTTCATTAAGGAAAGATTAAATAAAGGCTGGGTTGTGCATGCGAACACGGGGCTTTTAAAAACAGGTAGTTCTGACTGTGTTGTAGAAGTGGCATTTTCACGTTACGCGGTTTTTCCATTTCTTTTATTCAAATTTCTCTGCTCGGATTTTTCAGCATTAATTTGAGTTTTACTTATTTATTCAAATGGCTGCATTGCAAATTGAAAGTTTGTTCTGACATTAATCACCGCCGGAGGACAGACAGTACTAAATGTGGTATTTTTCTCTCTACTTAAAACTCACGCCACAAGCTTTTAACATTTTTGCTTTTTAGTGAAAAGCCTCAACAGCTATTGGATGAATTATGCAAGATGTCTGGGCAATACGTACCGGTTATAGACACGTCATTAATAGAAATGGTTAAACAGAATATTCAATAGTTTCACTTCAATGCATTTGATGCAAACTACCATGAAAGCACATAAAGGAAACAGAGTTGGGTCACATGGACAAACCCCTGGTCCATGAGCAGTACGTCATAACCCTGAATGATGGAGCCTCTCCATCCTTCATCTCTATGTAGGTCTCCTGAGGCGCACTAGTCAGCGGCTGCCTGGGCCTCTCGTTGCCACCATCGTACACATTAACCTCCTTGATGGTAGCTGAGGCCGACAGGGCTCAGCGGTTGTCCTTGTAAGATGGGGTTTAAGGTTTAAAAAGGCCCACTACCTCCACCTAAGCAGCTCCAAAGACTGATGGACTTCACTTAAACTCAGGGAAGACAACAAACTTTTATTTTTCTGCCCTTTTGATGTCCTCGTCGAGTAGCAATCATCCCCCTCAAACCTCGCCAACAGTGACGTAAACTTCATATAGGCTAACCAACACAACAAACCCTTTAATCTTCTATTTCCCTATGTGCTCACAGAACTGAAACTATACTTAGTAACAACTAATTGTCATAGTTGTAGCACTGTGGCGTTAGCAAAGCTGTAAACGCTCACGCTGCTTCAAGCCAGCCCTGAGTTCCTGCAGGAGAAAGCCATTTTTATCTTATAGTTTACTTTATAATTTCAAACAAACTCCTGCATACTGTCTAAGTTGGAAATTTATTTGCTACGATGAAGGTATAGCACTTAAAAATTTTTGAATAAATGTATTTTTGCTAGTTAGACAGTGGGCCAAGTCTGTTTTTCACGTACCAGATTCACCGTCCCTCTCGCTCCTACTGCCTCTTGACCCCCATCTCCCATCCTCCTCTCTTTCCTCCACGAGCATGAACGTGCACATTAAGTAGTGTTGTGTGGATGGGACCGAGCCACGTCCTTTGTTTTACATTTACAGAGCCTTGGGCTGAGTACAAACACCGAATCTTTTTTCAGCTCACACACGCAATGGACAGCTAGAGGATTGTTAGGAATTTGACAAAAACTGTGTTGGATTAAAACCTCATACTGCACTTGTAAGCGTGCCAAACATATGTAAAGGCACCCAGTCGCACACGCATGCGCACCTTTTTGCAATCTTGAAGTGGTGGATCTCATCGCAGATGGACTTCAGGTAGCGCTGCTTGGGGAGACGAGACAACAGAGTCTTCACGCTGCTGTTGAACTGCTCTTCACTCTCAAACTGGAAAGAAATAAAAGGAAAACGATAAGGGGTTAAAACAAGGGACTAAGAAAGAGTGAATGTTAGGTGACAAAAATGTTGCATGCAACATTCACTAACCCCCCCCAAAAAAAGCCTGGAACAGATTAGTTTTATTACACCCCAAACTGTAGAGACTGTACACCACAAGGCCTCGCAAGGTGTCATTTTCTTCATGTTTGTTAACAGACCTCACAATCGTAAAGTCGGCAGCATTTTGGGAGGAATGAATGGGTTCTTCAGCTGCAGCCTCGGAGTGTATTTTTGCATGTCAAGTGTAGTGGGGCAGAGAAGCCACAAAGCAACTGTTGGTTTATAGATTTCTTTGGTTTCTTGTGTGACTTGGGGTAATTTGCCATATTTAAAACAGACCCTTCCTGCTTGCCTGGTTACACACACTGTGTATTGTCATGGCTTTTATATACTCAATGTGCTGTCTTTGACACTTTGTGCAGCAAAGGGGGTTGACTGTATAGGTGGCCTGTTCATTTATTGAGGCTTTTGCTTATATAATAGCAGTGTTAAGAGCATTTTTCAGCTTTCAGCATGTTTCTTTACAATATAATTAGTCCTTTTTTTAAACTTTCGGTAAAGGGAACTCGGGATTTTATGAGCGAAGTCTTGGTAAGAAGTATGGAATGTGATTATAAACACCTCCTAAGAGTGCTTTTTGTTAACTACAGTGCACGTCTGTGGCATACGTGAGCCTTGTTAAAGGCCAACGCAGACTCTCACGGGTCTCCCTGGCGATGGAAAAGTGCAGGGGTGTTCCCTCACTGCACTCCTCATCAGACAGGACTGTAAGGAAGGAGACGGGATCCCCTCTTCCTGTCTCGGATCTTGACCTCTGTTGGTCGTTCTTTCCACTTCCCTCCTCTCTCCCAGCCTTCACTTGGATGTCGCCTTTTATTAACTGCCGTGTTGTTCATGAGGCTTGCAGGGGACCTACCTCCAAAGACAGGAAGTTGATCAACGTTTCCTTCTGCAGGTCCACCTGTGGAACAATGGAGCGTTACATCACACCGCAACAATGCAACAATCGGCACAGAATACAATATCTTACGCATTTTAACAGAAAGTTAAATGCCGCTTTTATTATTGGGCAAAAAACATCAACCGTTGCACCTGCTGCCCAACATATTGAGCAATTCTTTCAAAAAAAGAGAGTCCAGTCAAACAAAATTACATGTAATTCAATTCTGATAATGCTATAAGCAGAGCTGAAAGCACTCCATGTTCTTTTCCTCGGAGGCTAATGGCCTTCCGTGTTTATCACTGGAAAACCAATACTGCTGTGTTCCAGTCTGACTGATAGACAAGCAGGCTGCTGACATGCAACAACACACACACTCACAGGCCTGTGGAACTGCTTACCGGCATCAAGGTGATTATGTCTGCTATGTTTCAATAACTCATATTTACCGTTGCATCGCTGATGCAGTCCAGATCCCAACTGGGATGACAAGTGTATTTGAAATATGCGGCGACATGGTAAATAGGACAAGCAGGGATAATTTACTTTGAGGATATCTGGCCATATATCTACAATGCAGCCACAAATAAACTCAATATGGCAGCCATTTACATCGCCTGAAATGACACGCTGGCTGCCTTCTGTTTAGTGTTCATTGTTCTGTAACAACTGGAATGGATTCACAGCCATCTTACCTCCAGCAGGGGATTTAAGCACAAGGCAAATAACTATAAAAGGGCTGCTACCCGTGATGTTTGTTGTTTTAGCTATCAGAAGCCCTTTCCTTGCTCTGCGATTTCACACATGAATTCAACAGATAAGGTGGGAGAGCAACAAAAGGGGAGCTGGGATTGGGAGGGATAAAAAGGGGGGTAAACAAACAAATGACTTACTGCCAGAACCTCAATGTCATTGCTCTTGTTCTGCAAATTGCTACTGAGATTCTGTAATCTGGTTTGGATCTGAAACAAGAGAGAGAAAGAGTAGAGAGAAACAAAGTAAGAATGACAGAAATGGAAAAGGGCGGAAGCACATAATTATTCCCACGATCAAAATGAAAGAGCTGGGGAAAGAATACCATCTTTACATGCAATCTTTTTAAAAGCAAATATTTGGCATGGCTTCCACTTACAAGCACCATAATCTAATGACAAATGCTTCAATGTTTAAGACAGGCATGTAGAGGGACACAAAGAAGAGAAGACGGGGACAGAGAGTCTACTAATATAGGGATTAGTGTTTCGCTCACGTATGACAGTTCCTATTGGGTGAACACAGCTCTCTATTTTAGTTCCTAATAACCAAGACGTCTTGGAAACAAGTCCACTGTAGACATTTTTCTACATTAACAGAGCTGTAAATTGCACTTGAGCCTTGAGTGTTTTTGGGTTGTTGAAAACAGTCTATATCCTGCATCACAGCTTTCATGACGGTTTCCAGGAAAGAATATGGGTTTGAAGGTTATGTAAGTATGGATTGGTTGAAAGCAATCACCTGACAGCAATACTTGACGTATCACACCTGTAGAAAGTGACTGAAAAAGAAGTAAAGCAACTTTTCTTTATACACTAACTTAAACCTAACCCAAACTTTTCTATACACACTAACAAACCCAAACCCAAACCCTCTCTGGCTGACCTGCTCACATGTGTCTGCACAGAAGCCACAACACATGTTAACAGTCCACAAGTAGACTTTATTTCAGGGGAGTCACAAGCCATTAACACTGAGGAACACTGCTCTATAGAAGGGTTGTGATGGGCAGGCACAGGCACAAATCAAAAACCAAAATCTGACAAGAAGTTCAGCTCCTGTTCAAGGTGTGCGTGCATGGAGCGTATCGTGGTCTCGCACATGCAACATGTACAAGCAGTAACTGCCACGAGTCAGGAGACGGTGTGACACCACGCTATCAACAGGAGGGCCTCTATGTACACACGCTTTTGTAAACTGGATGTACAAGCAAACATCCCAATCCAAGATCATCGTCTGTGATGAGAGTTGGCTCTGTGGCAATTACCAAGAAAAGGAACAGCAGTTTTCACAGTGGAAGAGCCCACAGTCTCCGAGAGAAGAGGGGAAAAAAAAAAGGCTTGTCAGGTCAGGAGCACATCAGGAGCACGCTCGTTATTTTCTTCAACATTCATGGGGTTGTGCACTGGGACAGGCTCAGACTGTTAGGGCGCAGTTCTACTGTAATGGCCAAAGATGACAGAACATTCGGTGCAAATGACCTGAACTGTGGTGTGATAGCATGTGGGTGTTCCCATGTGCTGTGTGTCTGGTCACAGCACGGTGACGACACACAGGCTCTTTTGGCCACAACAACAAAATCATCGCTCCCCACCTGCCCTACTTGCTAGATTTGTCTTCCTGTGACGTCTTACTCTTCCCCAAACAGAGATTCAACTGAAGGGTTGCTGTTCTGACACAGTTTAGGCGACTCAGCGCTCATTGCAGATGGTGCTTGACATGTTTACATAACAGGACTTCCAGGGAGCGTTCCAAGCATGACAGCAGCACTGGGATCACTGTATCACTGCACAAGGACACACTTAACAGGGATGGCGGCCAAATTTCAATCAGGTATAGTTTTAGATGTTTACAGGCATATTTGACTGAAGTAGCTTTTGCTGATTATTTACATCCAGTATTTGCCAAAGTTTTCCAGGAGCAGCATATGACTTGTCAGTATAGCATCTTGTGGTCTTAGAAAGATGAGAAAGGTGAGAAGCAGGTTGTGTGTTTGTGTGTGAAAAGATGAATAAATGATGGTGGGTGGAAGAATGAGACAATAAAAAGTGTATTTGTGACTTTGACAGAAAATGCAGAATAGCTGTATTTAATTTCCAATAACACAAATGAAAAGGAGATGCAAACATGGAAAGTTACAACTGTAAGTGTGTATCTGTGTGTGTGTGCATCACAAACCTGAGTCTCATATCGTCGTCGAGCACTCGAAGAAACTTTCTCTGGGCTGATGACGTTCACGTTCATGTTGGTGGTGCTGCCACTTCCATGTTGCTCTGAAGAGCCTGGAGACACAACAATGAGCATTTCCACATTTTATGGAATAATTACATTTTTTATACGTCCAATACCCAACAATTAAGTCACACATTGCATGTTCCAATCAGACGACAGCAAAAAGTGTCCATGTCTAACTGTTGGGTGTAATTACAACATTGTTGGCTACCTGTGTGTTTGTGCCAGAGCTGGTGTGAAATCTAACACTTAGGCGTATCCCCGGCTGCACTTTTTGTTCGTCACTCTGCGTAAGCCCGTTAAATGCCAATAAAGGAAATGCACCATCACAAAATTCTGAATCAATTTCACATTTTTATTGCATGCAGCACTTTGGTGGAGTTCAAGCAATAACTGCCTAAAAACAGAAGCGTGATTGTAATGAGATGGGCCGAGCACAGTACCTGTGTTGTTGAGCTGGGATCCTTTGGGGTTCTGGAGAGTCATGGTTTCAGAGATTTCTCTGAACGGCAAAAGGACAACATTCATAAGAACAACCTCTTCACATCGTTCAGACATCTGAGCAGCACGGTCAACCAAAATTTCTTTACCTGATGTATCTCTCATCAAAGAATTTGGTCCGACATTTCTGAATGATGTGGTCCACCAAGTCCGACTCAAGAATTCGTTTCTCGGACTGTCTGTCCTTCTCAAAGGATTTTACCTGAGGACAGAAAATGACTTTAACATGTGCTGCAGTACACAACCTTCCCATGACTCTGCCTGAGCGAAACAGTGTGTAGAATGTTATGATGTGTAATGCTACTAGCTGTTTTCCGTAGTGAAGGACACACTGCTCACTTAATATGTATCTGTTCAAAAGCCAAGTCTGTTGCTGCCAAGTGTATGCAAATTAGACTTCAGATGTCAGTAAATGTCTCTGGATTGTATTGGAACATGTTGGACGGCGCTTTGCTGGATTGTAAGGCTGGTTTACCTTCACATACTGTCCCTCTTTGTCGGAGACGAGGGCCATGCATGTGATGCCGGCCAGCCTGCAGTGGTCCAACAGCGTTTCCTGAGACTGAACACACAAAATGACAAAAAGCTGAATTAGTCAAAACATAATTTGAGAGTTCATTTAAAGGTGAACTGCATTAAATGTTTGTGATAATACATATGGATACTCATTATCACAACATTACACAAATTGACTGTGCATGTAGAAATCTGGCGCGCTGCCTTCCACTGCCTGAGGATGCTGGCCAGTGTGGACTTTGTGAGACCTAGATTTCTGCTGAAAAGCTTGCAGCCCACAGACAAGTTGTATATGTATGAGGACTGAGTTTATCTTGATATAATTACCTAAGAATTACAAATCAAGCTAGGAAACGTAGGAATTACATAATTAAAGTATTATAGTTAGCTGTGACTGATCTGGTTGCTGAAAGAGTGACGAAACATGGCTGAGATACCGCTCAGCTAGAAGGTAAGAAAAAAAATGAAGGAGCTCATTCTCTGAAAACACTGGATCATAGCCTAAAAATGATTCTATTGCAGCAGTCACTCACTTTAAGTAGAATTTTGCTTGGAACTAAAGGAGCGCGCAGTGAGCCGCGACTCACAACCAAAACCAATGTACATTCAGGTAATGCATTCAACCATGACACTGAGTATGTATGCTTATGTCTGTGTCGGCCCAATTTATTCTCATTAACTTCAGTTTGGCTCCTCAGCTAGACGAGCTAGCGATGGTGCAGAACAAACCCTGCAGTGTACCACACAGTGTGTGTGTATGTGTGTCACTTCGCCTTGTCATCATGTAAGCTTTTACATTTCCTCTTTTCTTACAACTTTCTCACTGACAGATCAAATTATGTCAAAGGTAAGCTATTTCCTGCAGGCAGATGGGCAGCTCGGGGCCTGAGCTGACTGCATGTGGAAGGGGTTTGCCATATTTGGCTAATAAAAGCTAAACGAGTGGAACCGTCTCTTGAGGATGAATTAAAGCTGCAGATTGTGTCTGTTAAGAGGCCAGCATGTGAGCGGTGTTAACAAAAGTCTAGAGAGGGGGGGAGTGATGGGTGAGAAGGTCTGAACAAGGTGTTCTCACCATCTCTCCCCTGGTCAAGGCGCTGGCCTGCATACATAATCAACAAAAACCCCACACAAACACTCTTGATGATTTGGAACATAATGCTACTTGTTTTCAGCCAAACCCAACCTTTTCCTAATTACTTTGAAGGACTCAGGGGAAATGAAGGTGGCCAGTCACTTGTGTCCTGTGCCAGTACAAAAGACAATGAGGACCATTAAAGCAAACACTCACTAACTGCAGAAGTGGAAAGTTAAGACAACAATAGGTTATAATGAGTAGAGGAGGGAAAAAAAACAGGAGGAGCAGCTAAAATGTGGGCACAGGCTTTTGCCAGGGAGGCGATTTCCACAAACACGCACAGTTCAGTTTGTCACAGAAACATGAAGAATGTGGCGGAGGCATGGCATTACAAGTTCTGGCGCGGAGGATAAAAAGCTTTACTTTGAAGGGACTGATCTCAGCTTGGCTATACTCAAATCACACTTCAGTTATTGCTAACAAGAAGTCATCAAAACCTAATCAAGAGTGTGTCAAACAACTGACATGGAGTCAATTACTGCACAAAAGACACACATGTTTCATTGCCTCTTTGAAATGCGACCACAAAGCACAGCTCGTTCTTTAGGATATTTACTATTTCTGATGCTGTCATGACTAGTGTGCTGCTGACAAACGAGGGGCTCTTCTCTAAAGAACGGAAGTCAGGTGTTGCCCTCTGTAGGAGGGATGAGGTTACTACAGGAGGGTGATCAGGAGGTCACCTATTTTACCCAACAGTTTCCATTATTTAGAAAAGTACAAACCCAGAAATGTGCTTGAGTTTAGACAAACACGAGGACTCAGATACATCATTATAGCAACTCACTAATGTTGTGCTTGTGCGTCTGCATGTACAATGCATGTTTTACCTACATCCTCTGTTCAGATTTTTTCCTTTCACTGGTCCGGAAATAACATTAAGGGAGTGACTTGGTGAGCAGAGGCCTCTGCTTCCTTCAGTTGAGATATATTTAGGCTCGTGCCTTAATGGCTCAGACCTGCGAGTCCTTGTTGTGAATTTAAAGAAGCATCACTGCTCACATACATGTAAAATTGGGCTTTCTTCACAAATGTAGGTTTTTTTGGACAAAAAGCAACAGAAAATAGTAAATAAAAAATATCAGGTTTACTATTTGGTTCTCGTGATTGACACATATGTAAAAAAAAATGTCAATGTGCATGTAGTTTATCACTGAAGTGGCTGATACGTAACACCAGTATAAGGTTGTGTATTTAACATCTGCATTTTCAGCAGAAAGCAGCCTCTCCCCCTTAAAATCTGGCCGACTCATTAATGTGTGATGTGTCGCCGTTTACAGATTTATCTTTGTTATATATTAGATGGGCTCATTACACTAAACCTCTCTGTCCAGCAGCTCATTTGGAACTGTAGCATAGCCTTGCTCTACACAAGCGCCTGCTTTGCAAAGTTCCCTGACAATTTTCCTCTTAAGTTACGCTTAATGTGCTATTTCAGATCTTTAGATGTGTCTACAGACATTTTTTTTGTTCACCAGTCTAGTGAGCCCGTAATCGCCTGTTGCTGATAATGTCAAAATTATTTCATTACTCAAATAATCAGTCTATCACCGTTAAAACGACTCCAAAAGTTGCTTTTCCAACAGCCAGATCATATCTGGCATTTCACTGACCCAACCTAATGACACCCAGTATAATTTTCACCCACCAGAGACTCTATGGTGCAATGCTTTTATGTGCATTTGCTCAAATATGCGATACACATTTGTTGTTTTGTAATTCTTTCATTTTTCTTTGCCTTTATTGGACAGATGGAGTAGAGGAGTGGACAGGGAATGTGGAGAAAGAGAGCAGAGGAATTAGGGAGAGCATTTTACACCCATGTGGTATGAGTTCTAACTACGTGGCCACTGGGTCGCCCTGTGATACGCTTTTAGAGCTAACAGTAATGTGTCAAAAATCTACTCAGGGCACCAATTAAGGCAGGAAAGAAGAAGTCTGCAAGCAAGATAACAGGGATGTAAACAATACAGGTTTCAAAATGTTATGAAAATAGTTTTTGCAAATGCTGCATGAGGAAGGAAATTAATTCAGCAGTTTCGTTAGACCTCATTGGCAAAACAACACATTGTTGTGAGTAAATCTCAAAATTAAAAATAACCTTGTTTGTTTGCAACTCCAGAGAGCCACTTTTAATCCACATTAGCTTTCTCCAAACGGAAACCTGTTGGGCTGCTTACCTGTGAGACATCGTAGGCGATGTCGGCAGACACACCAGTGCTCCACAGCTTCTGGACAACATTGATGGCTCTGGACATTGAGGAGTGACCCACTGGGACCACCAGTGCATCGCAGGAGCTCACTGTTGGCTGAAGCAAAAAAACAGCAGCTATAATCACGCCGAGCAACAACCTGAAAAAGCATATTCAGTCAAAAATTATGGATGCAGAGAGCTGCTGTTAAAAATACGTGTAATAAAGGAGCAATTTAGGGTCTTCATTTCAACGTACTTTCACAATCTGAATCCAAAATATAGAAAATGATGCGGCTCCAAAAATAACTCCACGGAGTCGAGACCAGCAGTGATCATAGTTATTAACATGTTTCTAAAAGTGGCTGTGTGGCACCCGACTGCTGTAATAAGGCATCATTAAAAATGAAACTCTGCCTGCTGCTCCTTCATTACAATAATTAGGAATGTCAAATCCCAGAGTGTGTGTCTGTGTCTGTCTCTCACTGGCTCCTCCATGCTGGCCATAGCGGCGCAGACTTTGTCCAGGGCGACACTGGCCCCCACCGCACTGGGAACAGGCACTGTGGAAGCTGGCCCTCGGAATTCAACGATCTAGTAAAACAGAGAGCGAACCGCTTTAAGACATCAGGCTGCATCACCAACGCTGCTTCATGTGGAATTAATGAAATGCAGACAGAGGATCTGTATGTGAGACGGAAAAAATGTGGTTCACATGAATGCATATGTGGAGGGAAAACTTTTGGCTGCATTTTTTTCAAATATCACCTGCAGATTTTAGCTGTGAATTCACTCCAGTTTATTTTTAGGTTTTATTATGTGGAATGTGAATGTCTGTAAAAACCTACCAAGTGGTCATAGCGTCCTCCAGCAGCCACTATATCTGGCACGGTTCGCTTGCGTTTCCTGATGAAAGCCACAAACTGGAAGATGACTCCAGAGTGGTGCTGCACCTTGTACACTAAGCCTAAGTTGACCACCACCTAGAGAGTCGACACATCTGGATTAAAAGAGAGAAAACACACGCAGTTTCTTCGTTTACAAAGAATCCAAATCACCCTCATTTTGACTCCGAGTCTACGCAGAAGCACGGTGAGCTCCTCCAGGTCCTTGAGACCCTGCTTGGCCAGCTGTGTGACGGCCGTTTTCTGTTTGGTGAGTGATGCCAGCAGCGGCGCCAGGTCTTGCAGATTTCCCTTCTGTTCTATGTACTTGTACAACGTCTGCAACTGAAATCGAGCGAGAAGGAGAGATCTCGATGTTTATGAGTGAGTCTGAGTGAGCTGCTGCAGCGCTGTATGTTTTTACAGAAGGTTCATGCACCGGGTGGACTCTTACACTGCTGGTTGACAGTGAAAAGTTGCAGAACTTTGCCTCCATCTCACGTTTGGTCAGCTTTTCACACTGGAGCAGATACGGGGAAGAGGAAGGAGGGGGGAAAGAGGCAATAAAAATGTTACCACTGCTGTATTTGCCAAGAACACCACTGGGTATGTTCACACCAGCATATCATCAACAGACACGCAATGTGGAGAGCACGTGTAACATGTGACCTGCACTGACCATGGCGTCACACAGTATGTTGGAAGCCTGGCTCAGCTTGTCCTCCGGGACCCCGCTGTGGAGCAGGATGGCCTTCAACAGGCTGGTGTGGTTTAGGTAGATGTTATAGTTCCTTTCCTGCAGTCACAAACACACCTTTAACCCTCTCAGCTGCAATTAAAGTCACAACCAAGAGCAGCACTGTACAATGAGCACCTCAGTGAATAATGACTGTTGTGTCCGGCTGCCCTCTCATTCTGTCTGACTCGTGTATTCTTAAAAGCTTTCACATAAAGAGCTGGGTGGTGGATGGGATCACAAACAGGATCTATGAGGGATGAACTGGAGGCCAGACTCAAGGTTGACTGGGTCCATGAAGTATGCAAAGAGCGCCGCGACTGGAGACTGACGCAGCATTGGAATGGATGTGGACAGGAAATGGATTGTACTGGAAGGGAGGGAAGGAAGCGGACGGAGCTGCGCGTAACAGATTTACTATGTAAACAATAAATACAGTGTAAACCTGTCAGGCTGACACATATTTTGGTATGTTAGGAATGTGAGTGGGAAGCAAAGGGGAAAAAACAGCAAAAGGTTAAAGCAGAGCTGATGGCATCCGCAGGAAAATAAAAAAGAATGATACATCTCGCCCATGAACAAACTGTTCACCGTGAATGAGAATCACGACGAGGCAGCGCAGCACAAACTGTCAGCTCAACGGATCATTTAAAACACAAGTAGTTCGTGTGTGTGTGTGTGTAACCTGAAGTGCAGGGAACTCCTGGACTATTTCAGAGATGGTGTAAATGGTCTCTGCATCAGGGAGGAGGCTGTTGGTGACAGGTGTGATGATGTCGAAGGCGCACTCCAGAAGCTCCCTCGGGTGAGCGCGATCCAGCTTCCTGGGGCGGAACACGCGCTCAATGCTATACCTAAAGAAAGGTGACGAGAAACACACGCAAACTGTGTTTATTCTCAACGGGAATGTCAGGTTTCTTTACAGAGACAAAGAATGCATCACTTCTACTTAACATGCTGAACACTGTCATGATCCTGGTACGCATATGAGTCAATACAGGCTCACACAACTGTAGTGGATTCACTTCAGAGGTTGACTGAGGTAATGCCAAAGCTAATCTGGCCAACACAGTGCATCAGCCCCGCTGCTGATACAGCCGGCCAGATGAGTTTTAGTTGGTGGAGAATTAACTTAACCCTCTCAGCCACAGAGACATTTTCTGCTCCTGTCACAATTTTATTCACTGTGAGCTCGTTTTTCACCGCAATATAAAGTTGTGGTTGTTTCTATGGAAACAGCGCAACCATAGAAGTAGAGAGAACCGAAACATGACTTCTGGCAGGATGACAAAATTATGATGCCAAAAATCATAAAAAAGAAAACACAAAAGTAGAATTTCCACAAGTGTTACCAAAAAAAAAAGTGGTGGCTCTAAACACTGCAGATATTTTATTCCTTACATTTTAAATTTGTTTCCGTGCATGTCCACTCTCTGCTCTTTGTAAACAGCCTGAAGTTCAGCTCAGGTCAGCCAAAAAATCCCCTTATTTTGTCTGGCATTACTTGGCCTCATAGTTGCACTGAGAAGCGCAGAGTTTTTTGTGATTTATAAAATCTGTTTATATAAACAGTTCATTTTTGGCAAATTTTCAAATGAGTCATGTAGATTAAAATGATTTGATGAAATATCACAGTTTTAAGCTTAGATTTAGTTATTTTTCCCAAAGGAATAACACATCACAGATGAGTAGTTCAAGGACACAGAAAAACTACCTGATTCTTTCTATTTTTACAGTTTCTGGCTCTGATATGTGTTGGAATTTGGGTAATTTATTGTTTAAAGATAACATGCTTCAAACCTGAATACAGGATTAGAGGGTAAACTTAACATAAAAACAATGGAGGAATACTAAAGCTCTAGATTTCATCACAAGATATCACCATGATGCCACTACATGAAATGAAATGAAAAATACTTTATTCATCCCAGAAGGGAAATTCAATACATACATACTGTATGTCAAAAGATTGTTTTGTGAAAAAAAAGAATGGCATAACTTGCCACTAAATATGTAATGAACCTTTACAAAGCTATGCTGGCACAAACATCTGTTAAATCACTTATCAATATCTACTTTACCTCTTCAGGTGGGTTATGTTATTTCGGGCAACGTATCTTGCAAACGCCATCTGAAGTGAAAACAGAGTTGAGACATTGGGTGCATGTGCATAATGACAGTGAAGTCAGAGCATACCAAGCTGTAATCAATCACAGTGTGGAAACAACCATTTAGTCCTCAGGGTTTCCTGAGGTAGCAGGATCTTAAGGCGGCTGCTGATTGCAGCCTCACACTGTGTGTGTTTGCATGTGCTGATGCAAATAGTTGTATAATTAGTGTTTCTGTAGAAGTGCGGACATGCACACCTGGGAGTGTGTTCTGTGTGTTGTGTGTGTGCTTTGTGTGTGTGTGTGTGTGTGTGTGTGTGTGTGTGTGTGTGTGTGTGTGTGTGTGCTAAACGCACGCGGAGGTCATAGGGCAGTGTAACCAGCATTCCGCTGTGGTCCATGAAGCAGGCCAGCTCGCTGCCATCGTACAGCTTCCTGTTTCTGGGGAGGAACAGCGGGGTCTGGAGACGCACCGCACCTGAAGACAAACATCACGTATCAGTGCTACATCTGCCTAAGACAACATGACCCTCACCCTAAGACAACTGATGCATGTGAGCAGATACAAACTGAGAATAAACAAACAAGTACAGCTGGACATCATCAGCAATGTGCATAAAAACAACACTAGCACCTGCACAGAATCTGCGCGGCCCAACAGTGCACTTATTGTTTAGCTGCCTCACACTGGAGCAGATGTCGGGGTCCCTAAAACGGGCTCACGGCGGGTCAGGAGTCCAAGTGGTTTTCAGTGGAGAGTCAACACACACACACACTAGACAAGTGTAGTGTACTCACCGTGCTTCTTGAAGATCTTGGTGATTGTTTCATACACATGCTGCTGCAATTTGGCGCCGTTGAAGCTGAAGCTGCCCTGGAGGGAGAGCAAAACAAACAGCCTCTGTTAGGGATCAGGAGACACTGATTAAGCACTTGCAGGCCTTCTGCTAGGCTGTTACACAGACCAGATGAGTGAGACAGCATGGAAGAAAGAGCGGCAAAGTCATCCGTGTGTCTACAGTGACATCTACAGGTTGAGAGGGGGATCAGCTGACTTTCTCTGATGCGATCCAAACTAAATATTATTGCAAAGCAGAGTCACCTAAAGTAAACTAGGATGACTCAGCTTTAACTAAATGTTGACTGGTTTAATTTTGTTTCATGCACTGTGTGCCCACTGCTCATCATGCAAAGTGCACAAAAAGCCTTTCTGCCACAGCATTACACTTCAACTTATTAAAAACGAAAATCCTCAACACTTTTTTTATCAGGACAAAAGAACAAAATCACTACTTTTAAGCATTTGTTCCTCTATCTCAAAAGTTCACTAAATAAATCCGGTTACATTCGGGGTGTCTTTGAATGTTTATAAATCATATGCACGACGTTGGCTTCTGGTTTTATGCAAAATATGCAAAATATATCTTAAAAAAAAAAGCTAATGGTTTCATTTTTGTCTTCCATCTTCCACAGAAATGCTAGAATATGGCCACATGCAAAAACAGTAAAACACAATCCGCTTTCAAGAGCTTGGTAGACTCAAGCAGCAGCTTCACCTTGTACATGTCTATGTCATAGGTGAAGTCCATGACTGGTGTGGTGTTCTGGGCGAACAGCTGGCCCACCATGGTGCGGTAGGCCTTGCCGTTGACATTGGCCATGGTGTGCTGCAGCACCTCATGCAGCTCCGACTCCTCCAGCTGAGGCGGAGGCAGCAGCTCGCTCTTCAGCAGCTCCTGGGCGGTGGGCCGAAGGGCCGGATCGTGTTTCAGGAGCCACTCTATCACCTTTTTCTGACATAGAACAGACACAGAATGGTATTTGACTTTTAGATGGGGATAGAAGAAGGAGGAGGAGGAAAAAGATTCATATCAAACATTGTGCTCCGGTCGTCCTCACCTGTGTTCCTTGCCCGTATGTAGCGTAGTCCTCTGGGAAGCATATGGGCTCCTGCAGCGTAAAAAAGGATGACGTAAGTAAAAAAGGCAGGTTCAAAAACCCCATGCAGCTTAGATTACTTCTCCTGAGTGCTTCCAGTCCCTGACGTGGACGTACCACTCGTAGCTGGCTCAGGACAGTGATGCGTTCGGCTCCAGTGGTCATGGGCCGGTAGGACATCTCAAACAGGATGATGCCCAGGCTAAACAGGTCAACTTTCTGTGGACAGAACAATGAACATGATGCATTAAAATAAAAAAAGGGGGGTGTTACATAACAAGAAGAAGAAAAATAATTCAGAGACAGAAAAATCAAATTAGACTGTATTTAGCCAGAAATGTTAGTTATTCATTCTTACTTGGTTGTAGGTGGCTTTGGTATTTCCTTGAACCTCTGGGCTGACATAGAGGGCAGTACCAACCATGCCTGTCATGTTACCTGCAGACAGTGAAGCAACTCATAGTATTAGCGAAGGGCTGGAAGATCAACCTCCAGAGTTATCAAAGATTAAAATGAGCTAAATATGGTGCATATGTAAACTCTCTGCACCTGTAGGGTCTGGTTTGGGCATCGCTGCAGAGCCAGTCTCCTCCAACTCAAATTTGCCTGCAGCCTGGAAGAGACAAACAGCTTCTTTACAAAACATGACTAGTTTTACACATTAAACCAACAACAATGACAAACAGCTACACAGTTTGAATCAGTGCAGCCTGTCAGCAGGGTGAAGCTACTAACTGCAGACCACATCAGAGCAATGTTTACCACATTAGCAGGATGGTCTGTAGCCAGGCCAAAGTCTCCAATTTTCACATGGTCCTGGGAGTCGAGGAAGATGTTGACAGGCTTCAAGTCCCTGTGAATCATGCCCTAAAAGAAAGGAGGATTAATAGTGATTATGGCTTCATTCTTAGTTAATGTTCATGCAGTGGAGACACCTGTACCACACCTGATCGTGGATGTAAGTAAGGCCATCCAGTATCTCTCTGAATAGTCTCCATAACCGATTCTGGTCCTGGTGCAGGCCGTGATCTATAGTGTCTCTTAAAGTGCTCTTTTCACAGTATTCCATCTGTCGGGAAGAGAAAGCATCTGTTAGACATGTAGTAGAGTTTGTTAGTGGTAAAATTAGAGCGTGCAGGAAAAACTTACTTGTATGTACAAGTAATGGGCGATAATGAGATTTCGGTCAGAGTCTGTGCTCTCCGTCGTGTCAGTCACTGCTCTTTTGCTTGGCTCAATCTGCAGGAGGAAACACCAGCTGTAAACGACACGGTGTCTGGCGCTAACCAACGAGTAAACACGGGACAAAGGGAAAATATTCAAACCTGTGACATCTCGTCTATACTTTCATCCCCGTTATCAAAGATGATGTCACTCCTGGAGTCACTATCAGAAGGCCTAAATGAAAACAGGAGAATGAATAAATAGTGACGTATCAACAGTTTGAGAAGGAGTCTTCCCATTGAAAAAAAAAACGTACATAAAAGAGGCACCAAATACATCTTCCTCATCATCGTCCTCATCATCCTCATCATCACTCGACTGGTGTCCGCTGCACTTGGCGCTGGAGGATCTCTCAATGGAGGTGGACCACTCCACGGAGCTCGACAGGGCCGGAGGCGGCGCAACGTCCTCCACGTTGTCGGGAAGGCCAAGCTCATTGAGGCGTCGCGGCGGATCTCTGCACTGAGGAGGTTTCTCAGCTGTGCTCTGAGGCTCAGAGCTGTCCGTGTTGCTCAGCACACCGATGGAGGGCGTCTCGTGCCGCTCGATCCACGCGTTGTAATAGCGGACGATGTTCTCATGGTTCAGGCGCGAGAGCAGCGTCACCTCGCCTTTGATCCGCCTGAACTGCTTGCTGGTTGGGTTGACCTGGATGCGCTTCACAGCATAGTAGCAACCGTCTAGTTTGTTCTGAACCTAGAGGCGCAAGAGAGGGAACAGACGACAACTTACTGATGAGTGTGATGTTATCTCTCCATAAAATTTTTGTGGGGGGAAAAAAAAAGCCACCCACCTTAATTACAGCACCAAAGGCTCCTTTTCCCAAAAGCTGCAGTTCTTCAAACTCATTGAAATAGCGAGAAAACTGCCTCTGCAGCCCTGAACTGAACGGAGCATTGAGGATGTGGCTCCGGGGGATGACTGATGACGCAAAGTCCACAGCCAGATCTAAAAAACAGCAAATCAGAATTTCTCAAGCAAGAAGGCCAAACATCTGACTGTTAAAGAATTCCTAAGTGTGACTACTTGCTGCTTTTCTCTGGTTTATGTACCTCAGTTGTTTAGACCAAAGATGCATTTTTATCATTATTAATATAATCAAAACCTGATTAATCACGAAAATAATCCACAGATTTAAGAATACTGCAGACAGTTAATAACAGCAGCCTAAATAAATACTGTAAATTGCTCAGTGTCCACAGAAACTTCAACCTTACCAACCATTAACATAGATGCTTATTTCTAGACTCTTTGTACGAGGCTATAACTATAAACAATAGGTTGTACTGAAATGTTTTTCCATATCTTACGGCCTAAATGAGGGTTTGAATGTCAAAATCTAATGTATTGGTGAAGAAGTGCTGCACAATTGAAACCATAAAACATCATAAAACACATTGACTACACAGACAAATTAAAATAAAATACAATAACATAATTAGTATAAAACCTTCCAACACAATAAAAAATAAAGTCAAGCTCTACTTGAATCAAATGCCAGCGCAAAGAGGTGGATCTTCAGCAGCCATGTAAGACTTTCTGAGCATTTCTTCTAATTGTTCCAGTGATTTAAAGCAGCCAGCACAAAGGCTCTATCGCTTCTATTTTTGCGTCTGGATCTCCGAAAATATCCAAGAGCATCTGGCTGCTCACCCTCAGTGCTCCAACCGGGATGTGATGATGCAACCGATTATAAACCTCAAAAACAAACAATAAAATCTTTTATCGTGAAATGTACAGGAAGACGGTGGAGGGAGGCCAGTGCTGGTGTTACTGTGATCACGGTTTCTTTCTCCTGCTAGAAAACAAGCAGCTGTGTTTTGTACCAGCTGCAGACCCCGAGGAGACGACTGCTCTACGTCCATCATAAAAAAGTGGAAAATAGTCTGGCGGTGTGGTCATAAATCTTTTTGATCATTGGTAGATGGACATGTCTGCAACCCGGGCGCAAAGTCCTAAAGGAAAACAGCCAGACAGCTGAGCTGATCTGTTCACTAGGATCACACCAAGATTTTTTTTTTTACAAAAGATCAATCGACTGGATCAGCTGCTGTCTTCCAAAAGGTCACATCGACCGAACATAACGATCTCATGATAAGTCGCATTTTTATTAACGCTGACAAAGTTGGATCCATCCAGGTTTTAATATCCTTTAAGCAGTCCAGCTCTGAATCTTCACTCTTTATGATCCCAAGAATATAGATTTGAATATTGTCAGTACAACAATATAAAGTAATCTTCTGTTATGTAAAAATATGTGCTCAGATTGAATCTTAAAAAGAGGCAGAACTTAACAAAGCTGAGTGCTATCATTGTACTTCTTGTTTTTTATTTAACTGAGGCTTCACCACATGTACACGGGTATTTTTGTAAAACAAGGCCTTTTTTGTCTCGTGGCCTTTCATCCTCAAGCAAACACAGTTATAGTTCACCGACTTTTTGGAAAACTCCTTCAAGGATGAACATATTCAGAAACTCTCTGATTCATCATGCCACTATCGCATGACTGTACAACTAAGCAACGAGCACCCTGCTTTTAAATAAACACGAATTAGTGTGGATGTAGCCTGACGTTCTAATATTTTGTCCAAAGTATTTAAGAACAAGTCACCTTCTGGGCTGGTCTCTTGGTACTGTGGCAGGTTTTTAGGGGAAGGAGGTTTGAGGAACGAGTGATCCAAGAGCTGCTGAGTTGTCCAACGCTCAGCATCGTTCAGGCAAACACACCTACAACAAAAAGACATATTGAATATAATTAGCAATACCACAATGCAGTAATCTCTGGCACTGAGCTACAATAGTCTGTCTAATGTCCCAGAAAATACACATTGTGCTACAAATCTGCTGACAGCAAACAATGCATGATTTGAAAGAAAGGATTTGAATAAATTATTTTAACTCAGCAAGTTAGCTCGCTACCATAAAACCACTTACTCTGAAAGCTACTCTTTATTGCGCAGCCTGCAATGCAAACACCAAAACACCATGAGCTAAGTGAATGAACCAGCGTCTACAAACATATTGCAAACAAGCAGGTTTTCTATTACAGCTAACCAAAGTACAGATGTATTTAGATGCATAGGGTGGAAATCAACTGGTAGAGACACTAAACAAACTTGATTAATTGGTAAATAATTCAGTTAGTCGGTCATAAGAAAATTAACTGGCAACTATTTTGATAATGAAGTTATTTCAGATAGTTTTCAAGCCAAACATCTGCTACAACCAAGTTAATACAATTTGTTATTTGTCTTATATTATAGTTAAAAAAAGAAGAAATAGCACAGGACACTCGATGATGCCATATTTGTTTATGAGATATTATGATGGCTGTTTTTTACTGATGTCTGATTTTCTCTTATCAAAGCGCTCATCAGCCTAATCAATAATGAAAATAATCTTCTCTTGTTGCCATATTTCAGTGACCATTCCAGCTGCTTCTGTTAACTTATAAAATTAAGAGACTTTTTTGTGCTTGTGCATTTGCATTAGTAGAGTGACAACAATAAAAGCAGTAGAAAATGATTGCCATGATGTACATATTTATAGTAGATAGGCTTGACTGTAAAGGTCCATGTAGACCTACAGTAGGCAGGTACATGGGAATAAATATCCAAAGGTAAGAAACTGGAGAAGTTACCCACACTGCCCTTTACCTTGCAGTAAATTTTAATGCAAATACAAGGTTTTGAGTCCTTTGATTGTTTTTTCCCCCTGTTGACTAAATCACAGGACCTCCAGTAAAGTTTACTGCAAGTAAAAGGACAGTGTGCTTGAGCTATTTCTCTTCTCCTACAGTAAACAGGCTAAAACACAGACGTAAGAAACTGGCAAAGCTTCCATCCATACATACTTGTGAAGGAAATCCTGGAAGTCAGCAGGCAGGCTGGATGGCACCGTCACTGGATACTCCTTCACTTCTTTCCCCTGGCTCAGAGCCAGCAGCATCAGTCCCAGGTTCCACACGTCCCCCTTTTTGCCCGTTTTGGTCGGCATCGCCGTATCCTCAGAGAAACGCACGTGAGCTTGCTCGAAAATGTCTTCTTTGCAGATATCTGCAAATCGCTTCGATAAGCTGTAATCCGTCAGTCGAATGTTGCCCTCAGAGTCCACCAGCACGCTGGAGGGCCCCAGCTGTTTGTGCACCACAGAGTTGGAGTGAAGGTAGTCGAGAGCGGCCAGCAGCTGGGCCGTGTAATGGCAGAGTTTATCCAGAGGGACCGGGGTGTGGGTGTTCAGGCTTTGGTTCAAGTTGATCCCAGCCACATGCTCCACCAACACGTTCACCACCAGGCAGTCCTCCTTCTCTGTGGAGCTCAGCGCCATGTAGTGCACCAAGTTTGGATGATCCAGCCGCAGGAGGGAGTTGAACTCATTCTCTGCCCCGTGGATCTGCACAGAAGTTCAAGAGCAACTAGCAATGTGTGATAGCGTGAAGCAAGTATGTTTAGAACAGCTTTTAGAAGCATTAAAGCAGATTTCCTTGCTTTTAAAACTACAAATACATAATTTAACCTCTCAACTATTACAACTGCACCCTTCCTACTTGCCTGCTTTTTGCAGTTCTCAATCTTTCCTTTCTCCTGGCTGGTGAAGAACTTGCCCATCGTCTTGTTCCAGCGCAGCGACCACTCATAGATCACAGCAAAGTCTCCAGAGTTTACCTCGAATCCACAATAAACACTACGGTTGAGCCGCTCACTTACACCTGTCCAAAAACATAAACGTACATAAGGCTTATCAAGGCAAATGGAGCAACTTGGAACCAGATGAGCAGCCCTGTGTGGTAGAGCTCTCACCTAAACTTTTCCCTCTGTATACAACAAGTTCCCCAAAAGTGCTGCTGTTGAAGTGAAGAGGCTCCTGTGATCGATGGTTGTCTTCATTAATTGTGTCACGTCTGACAAAAGACAAACACTTGCAAGTATTATTACTACATTTCTTAATCAGGAGAAGCATGTTACAGTATTTGTAAATATGGTGAAAGCATGCCGTGTACCTGTGGCGTGTATTTGAGGTAGTCCGACGGCGGTTACCAACTGCTTTTCTAGCTTCGTTCAGTTCAGGAGTTGCTCCACCAGGGCTGGGGGGGCTCTTCCCCAACACAGAGGCCGACTGTTCTATGCTCTCAAGTAGCTCCTGTGAACATAATGGCATTGAAAGAGCAAATTACATTCCCGGTTTGTTTCCTCGGGTGATACGGTATAAGATGTGCGTGCTTTACTGCTTTTCTGCAGCTGCAACACTACAGCACAAATACCTGTTTGGCGATTTCCTTTCTTCTCTTTTCCTCTCGCTTGTCGTCCTCTCTTTTTTGGATTACAGCCATGATCTCTTTTTCCTACAAGAGTGAAAAATACCACGTTAAAAATACTGTAAACTAGAGCTTCTGTCAGTTATTTAAGATACAAAGTACGTGATCTGTCATATGCTCAGTGTTGACAAGTCAGACAAAATTCCAAAATGCAGAGATCTTTCAGGTAAAGCAGTCTACCTATAAATGACCACGATGTATACAATTCATTACAGGGTCTGTTAGAATAAAGTGCAGTATTTCTGGTGAACACAGAAAAGATGAGCTAAACTTAATTTTTCCCCACAAGAGGAAAACGAAGAGTATCTAGCCTTTGTGAATGAGTCTGATCAATCACTCTGACCCCAGATAAAACTAATCCAGCATGAATGTTTTTATCGTGCCCATCCCTGACCATCTCCTCCTCCTGCTTGCGCCGCTGGTCCATCCTCCGCTGCTCCTCCTCGGCTCGTTTCTCCTGCTGCTTGCGCTGGTTCTTCAGCATCTCCTCGTGGAAGGAACTGGAAGGAGGCTTGTTGTGCTCGCTCAGGAAGCCCTGGATGTGGTCTGCCAGTTCGTAAATCATCACCTAAGCAGACAGATAAATAGGTTAGAAGGAATTTGTGTGTGTCTAAGTGTGTGTGCATGCCTACTCACCTCCCCACATCGCACCACTGCCAGCTTGTTGAGTTCACTCTGGAGATTCTGGAGGTTTTCGTTGGACAGGCCTTTGGCATTCTTCAGCTCCAGCTCTGGAGGACTGTTGGTAAGGTAGCATGTCAGTGAGACCGCGTGATCACAATGGGATGATAACTAGCACTCTCAGACAACTTGCCTCCAGGGATAAATGTCTTTTTTTCTTTTTCTTTCCTTGTGCAGTTTATGTTTTAGTTAGTCTTGAAGATTTTGTATTTGGATTCACAGTTTAGATTAAAGCCATCGTAATAGGCTGGAATCTGTTGTGTATCACAAGACAACTGTGTTTTGCACACAGGACAGAAAAAGAAGCAGTGGCAATATTTTTTTTTTTTCAAAATATGGCAGTGTAAAACTATAAGTGTGCTTAAAACACATGTATGACAATGCTGCTGACATTAGCTGACATTTTAAACTTGCTGTTTCATCTCTTTATTGCAGGAACACAAACAGAGTGAAACAGTACTGAATTTCTATATAACATCTGATTGATTTAAAAAAAATGGAAGGTGTGTTTTTAAATTGTTGATTAAATCTCATAAAACAATTACAATGTAAATTACATAAGACATGTACAGGTGAGACTTATAGCACCTTGTCCATGCATCGGTGCATTTTTTGTGTTTTGGCTGCAGGTTCTGGGTGAGTCTTGCATCACACAAGAGCTTCAAATAAATCCACAGCCGAACCTAAATCATACACGGCGTAACTAATAAAAACAAAAGGATTCTTTATTCACATGTAAAAAGCGAATGCATTTTTATACTGTCGACACACTTTACAATGACGATACAAAAACTTTGAAATGCTACAAAATCATGTGGTTGCACATTGGATGTTATGCTGTTAAAATGCATCTGTTTGGGATTGTAGAAAAATGATTCAGCAAAAACTTCTAGCACAAGAACAATATTGGATGTAAATCAAGTCCCATGAGTACATGAGTAGCCCTAACAGGGGTGGACAGATTCTGAGCCTCCCCTCAGCCCCGCCCCTGTCTTCAACTTCAGGTTTCCTAGTATGGATTCTTTTCTGATATTTGAGCGGTATTTGGAGAGAGATTTATTACAGACATTCTGGAGCAGCTGCTGTCTATGTGCAGGGATACCGTGCAGGGCAGAGGCAGTCATGGTAGGTGTGTAAAGGCCAGGGGTCAACACTCACACGTCTGGGTATGTGGGGGCACATTTGACCTGCAGGTCCACAGCCACGTAGCATTCCTGCCCATTGTTGAGCCCGTTGGGTCGCAGGCAGAGGTGCACCTCTGGAGGCCTTTTAACCTGGAAACCAAGTCAAAACGGGCTCAGTGGAGCAGTTCACTACAGCTAACATACATGTGTCAACTTTCAGCCGTCATTAGCTCACTGAAGGAGATGCTCTCTGCTAACGTCTACCTTCCACGGATCCTTGTTCCGCAGATCCTGGAAGTCATCTCCAAATATAGACGCGAGAGCTTCTAGTTCATTTTCCTGCTGCACAGTGTAGTCGTCTGTCCAGTCTGTTGGAGTGTGCTGACTGCTCATTCTTCTGCCTCAGCTACATGGCAGTCCCGCGGTCCTGTGTCACCCACAGCCGTCAGACAGCGAGCAGGACGCCGCTCCTCTCACTCCGTGGACGCGCAAACTTTACCAGAAGTACAGCTCGCTGTCAGGAACTAACGTTACTCGGTATCCGCCAACTTGCCACACGGTCGACATGCCACCACAACTGCGCTGCGACTTGCGCATGACTGTTACAGGATGTGCGTCGCGGGTGAAACGTCATCACGGTGCGATCTCTATAATGGTCACTAGAGGGGAGTAAAGAAACCGGAAATGTCCTAAAAACATCCTGACTGATACGAAGTGGGTATTTTATCTAGTTTTATTTATTTATTTTTGTATTTTTAAAGCGTGCAATTTACTAATTTATGTCTAAAATAAATAAATGAATAAAATAATAATTAAATTAGTTTTAATTGCCTTGTCTTCTTGTTCTTAGGGTTGCTTAGTCGTGCCACATTCTTGATATTTTATACAGTTATACAGTCGTCCTCACATGTATTCATACCCTTCCATTAAAGAAAAGGGAAAATTCACAGTAGTCACTCAAATAATTAGAAACTGAAAAAGTAATAAACAAAAAATGTGTTAAATTATAATTTAGTGAAATGAGACATTGCTTTTGAATTGTGGTTGAAAAGAACAGTTGACAGAAAAACAAACAAACTGTCCCGGACAAATTAGAGCACTTTGCTGATGAATAGTGGGCCAAAATCAAAATACCTGTCAACACATGCAGAAGTCTGACTGAGAGTTACAGAAAACACCTGTTCACAGCTCAAAAAGCTCTCATGCTAGACTCAGATGACTGAAACTGAGGATGAACGTTCTTTCATCTGGTCCTTGTTTAAAGGGATCATTTGATTCCGCTTTGTCGAGAGTGATAGAAGGTAACAGGCCAACTGGTAGGTAAAAACTTTGATAGAAGTCATAAACAATAGCAGACATTTTACAGAGACTCTCAGTTATCATGTCAGAATCTTTAATGCTACAGTGCTCGAAAATAATGTGTCAAAATCAAACTTGGTGACACTGGGAAGGAAAAAAAACTCCCTATTACCAGGGAGGGAGAAAAAAACCTCTGTCAGAACCAGGCTCAGGGAGAGCAGCCATCTGCTTCGACCGATTGGGTGGAAGGAGAGCCAGACAGAGAAGAGGACAGACAGGTAGCAGAGCTCCTCCACCAGCTGGTTGTGCTGAGCTGAAACACAAACATTACAAAGGTTGACAGACAGACACACAAATGGTACAGTAGAGTGGTTAAAGTCTTCTTCTCATTTTGACTAATAGCTCAAGATATCAGGATGTAACACAGTTTGCCTGAACATAGATTTTATTTGTTAACAGCTTTACTTTATCATAACTCAGTTTTTAATCCCATTTTCTTGCCTCCAAGTGTGAAATAAAACAAATATCAAAGGTTGTATCTGTAAAACCTGATGAAATGGACAGAATCTAATGTGACCAGGGGCCTCATGTACAAAGACTTGCGTGGATTTCATACTGAAACCTGGCGTATGCTTCAATCCAGAAAACTGCATATGCACAAAAAAATCCAGATGAACGAAAGTGAGCGTACACCTGAATCCACACATTTCCTTTGTACATCCCACTCAGTGTGGAATTGACAGCACGTTGGAGTACGTGACTCCTCTCTCTCCACACCCCCAATTTAAATATGCAAATTAGTACAAACAGGGCAGACAGGTGGGATTCCCCTCTCTGCAGGATCAGATAACAGTAACAAGGATGAACTCACCACATTTGAGCAGAGAGTCGCCGCTATTGTGGGTGATACTGCTGTCACAGCGGTGGTGGGAGCACAAGTGGGTCACTCGGATCACCCCCAAGGTAAATATTTGTTGCGTAACTCACAAATTTATTCATTATACCGGTCATAGAAATAATCTGCTCACAGCCAAACAACATACAGGTTCATGTCAGGATATCAAAGAGGAAATCAAAGACTTTGTCTTGTGTTTAATTACTCAATTTATTATTTTCCAACAGACAATGAGGCAGGAGAAGCCTGTGAGACGCAGTCCCAGACTCTTATCACAGACCCACGGGATTCCTCCAGCCTCGCCGACGTCAGCCGATCCTCCGGTCCGCCACAACAGCCAGCTGCTGATGCCCGTACATGCTTAACGCATGTCAGGGGGATTAATATTAGGACAATTAAATGATTTACTCACCAAGAAGCCCAGCTTGTAGCAGCTTCTAGACCACACTAAACAACCTAGCACATATGTCAGGACGCTCCTCTTGGACTTCACTTCTGCTTGTAACTAACTCGAGACAGGGGCCAAGCCCTGGTAGTAAATGAGACCTGAGGCTAAATTTTGAAATATCAGACAATCAATAAGCTTCAACATGATCAGATCTGCCATTGGTACTTGAGGAATTAGAAATATCCCTATGTTGCACATTCTATCTCACCACCATAACATTTAGTCTTCAATGCATTTTGACTCTCCAAATCCAGAAGAGGGTTCTGTCTGCCAGAGCCTGTATGTGAGTAGCTCAGCAGCTCTCTGTCACTCATCTGCAGCTCTGTGCAGGACACTGAGACTCTGCTCTTAGTGACCATGGAGGAGAGAAGTGAATGATCAAAAATGAGATCCCACTTCACCAGTGGATGCAGACAATGTTCATGAACACAAATGTAAGAAATCCTTGGTGTGTAGGAGCACAAACACATGCACAAACCCAGGTATATTACATACGCTGGCAGCTAACACACAGACACACAAACTGTATGTGAGAGTAAAATTAGATTCCACCAGACTTCAGGTGCCGGTTAAGGTCTTCAGTTCCATATGGGGTGTGGCTCACGATCCATTTAACAGAAAGATCTCAAATCTTCTACGAGTCTCTGGAAGGCCTGCGGAAAGCACTTTAAACTGTAAGTGAACCTATGGACATTACAGACCACAGAATAAAGCTTAAAATAGATTTATTCATTGTTCAGTTGTAATTCTGTTGTACAACTGCCTACTGAAAATCCCTTCAAAAAAAGTTCCATCAATGACAGATGAACACCAAATCCATTAGGATAGCTAATACACAGCGCACATTTCGGGCACCAATATTAACTCAACAACATAAAAGTCAACTTACAGAGAATATCGAACAGTCTGACAATTATTTTTGTAATTTTCTCAACTCGGAACAGTCTGTCAGACAGCTTACCCAATTAGTTCGTGTGAATGTGGATTAGCCGTTCGGCTAACGTTGCTAGCTCGCTAACGTCCTTAGCTCTAGACCACAGTTTAGCATAACGACTAGCTGCCTCAAGCTAAGACTTAACTCACCAGCGCAAACTATCACTTACTAGCGGAGAAAACAGCGTCAAGCCTCTTCAGACTCAGGTGGAAAACAACAGGTGTCCTGGTCCACAACAGCTCCGCCACCATAAACTCAACAACGTTTCACTGTCGGAGTCACAACTTCTCTGTGACCTTCAACAGGTGCACGGAGCGAAACAGTCCGAGGCGGGACAAACAACCGTATTGGTCACGGTGCAGTGAAGCCACATTAACCACTGGCCGCTTATGAAAGTCATGAAACAAAGAATTATTTTGTCATTATTATTTTACATCCTACCTGACTGAGACTTGCTGGACGTATTGTTGTGGACCAGAGGAAGCGCAGTATTGGGTTCGACGCCGTTGCGTGAGAGCGTCACATGTTGGCTCAAACTTTTCGGCGGCCGGCAGGCTGTGCATGCGCATGCGCGGAGCTTGGGACGCCAATGGTTTCCTAGCAACCACATCAAAGGACACTTCCGTGAGTCACCAACCAATCACAGCCCTTCGAATTTCCTTTTGCCTTGCAAAAGGCTTAATAGGTGAGAATTCAGACAATCTATACACAACTGGGAGAGACGACCTTTGACTGAGTGCACAAGCCAGCTTAACAGCAAGCTTCAACCAGCTCTGAAAGACAATCCTTTGGAAGTACACCCATGAACATGGCAAACAACCTCAGGATTGGAAAAGGAAGCACACTTGGCAGTTGCCACGTGGTGGAGGATATCCTCGGTGACGGCAGCTTTGGCGTGGTAGCCAAATGCCGCAATACCAAAACCAACAACATAGTGGCAGTCAAGGTCATCAGGGGCAAGGAATGCTTTGTGCACTCAGCGATTGCTGAAATTGCCGTCCTCAGGCGACTACAGTGTCTGGACTCAGACACCTGTAGCATCGTCCAGTGGAACGGCTTTTTCTTTGATAAGGAGAACATCTGTATTGACTTCGAACTCCTAGATCAAAGCCTCCGTGATTATTTGGATGGTACCAAGTCTCGTCTTTCTGTTGGAGAGCTGAGGCCTGTTTTACACCAGGTGGCCACAGCTCTTTCCCACATGCACTCCATCGGTATTATGCACATGGACCTCAAACCGGACAACATCATGGTTGTGGATCGACATCAGCACCCACTGAAAGTCAAGCTTATTGACTTTGGCATGGCACATCCTATATCAGTGGTAAAACAAGGTGCCTGTATGGGGACTATGTATTATTGTGCACCAGAGATGCTACTCGGAGCACCATTCAACGAGTGCATTGATGTGTGGGCTCTTGGTCTCATCATGGCAGAGCTGGCAACGGGATGCATACTCTACCCGGGCCAAGCGCCATATGATGTCATCAGATTCGTCGTGGAATGCCAAGGCCAGCCACCTGACCACGTGCTGGACAGTGGATGGTACACTCGGCAATACTTCCATGCCCAGGAAGACGGCACAGACGAAAGACGCTGGAGTTTGAAGACTCCAGAAGATATGTATCATGAGTGTGGATTCTCTGCATTTGAGAGCAGGGAGATGAATCTCAATTCTCTGGATGAAATTCAGCAGTATATGAGGACAGACACTGAAGACCAGAGTGATCAGAAGCTGTTCATCAGCCTGATCAAAAGCACGCTGACCCTTGATGTATGTAACAGGATCAAAGCTCGGGAGGTTCTGGAGCATCAATTCTTTGCTTCCAGCCACACACAAGAGCAAAGAAGGGATCCAGATCCTCACCAGGCTGCTACATCAAGGGAGGAATGCCAAGAGCCCAACATCCAACCTCCAATTCCCCATCGGGCTGCTGAGTCATGGGAGGCACCTAGAGACTTGAATGTCCCATGTCCAACTCCTCCTGTGAATGCTACATCTTGGAAGGAGTGTGCAGATACCAACATCCAGCCTGA